CACCACTCTGACAATACTGGTAAGTTTAAAACTCTATGCCACTGGCGAGCATATCATGGACACTGTTTACAACGTTGCCAGCCGGTCCTAAGTGATCTGTCTTTATTTCTTCCACTCACTAACAATTTTAAAACAATGACAGTCCGCAATTATATGGGATTTATGAATGAAACATTTTGTCTCTATGTTGTAATGTCTTTGATTTATATTATCTCATTATACATGTTTATTTATTTATTTATTTATTTATTTATTCACGGGTAACCCCATTAAAAAAAAATACAATATTAATTAGAATAAAAACAGCAAAATAAATACTTAACAAAATACTAAACTAATACTAATATAGGTAATATAAAATACTATACAAAATATAAAATATAACGGCATCAAATAACAATTATAAAATCAGTTAGAAAATGAAGACAAAAAAAATGTTAGACTTCCATATTATTTAAATAAGTCCTGAGAGCATTAATAGTTCCAAAAATATCACAATTTTTACATTTCAACTTATTACATTCACGTAACATTCGACTTACTGGTGAATTAAAGGCATAATTAGTGGTATGTAGTGGTATATTAAATAAGTCGAATTGTCTAGTCCTACTAAAGGTATTTGTATAATATAACCAAATAATAATACAATGCGAATGTGAATCCATGGAAATATAATAAAGGACATAGAATTGACGTTCTACGCATATCTATTTCTTGACGTCCCAAGGATTTACTAAACTGCAGTGGCGGTTTGCCCGTAAGTGCACTTGGGCATGTGCCCTAGTATAATAAACCAAAAAAAAAAAAAATAACTTACATATTTTATATTTTCCTCAATGCCTATTATTATTTTATCTAATATTCAGCGCAAACCGCGTTGGCACGACACTGGACGACCGCGACGTTCCAAGAATTCCTAAATTAAGTGGAAGGGCACAGGGCACAGTAAATGTGTGCCTCTGTTGTTTTCTCTCTCATTAGGATGCGAAAAACAAGAACAACGACAATATCGCTTAGCAAGAGATGAACACATGCGATGGATTATACGTCACAAGCAGGGCGCTGTCCTCATTGTGACGCTGTACCCATGGCACAGATTACCTGGACCAGATACGAATATACGCAGCGCTTCCAGCATATATATTAACGCAGCGGCATCTTTACCGGCGATGCCGGTTTCGGCTAAATGTGCGCGTTTGTTGGACCATGATAATAATTTATTTATTGTGATTACGAAAAAACGTTGGACCATTGGAATAGTTAAGAAATAAAACTACAAAGAAAAATAACTTTTTTTTATAAAGCGGTCAAAAATATGATGGAAAAAAATCAATAATAATTATAAATGGGACAAAATTTTAATTTTTGTTTTTGTCTGACTTTTTCGGGGATTTCAAATCTCTGTTTGCATATTTAAAAGTATAAAAAATTCTGAGTCTTATAAATAATTTAATGGTGTACATTTTCGCAAATTGTTGGTAAGGATGACTAAATTCTGTTCTGCTCATCTCAAAAAGGTATGCGTTGGAAATTCCAGGCTTAGTTGACAAACTATCAAATAGAGATATAAATATTTTTTCTAATTTGAAAATATAAAAGAGAAATTTTTCGCTGGGAGATTTTAAATTGCCAAACACCTTTTTTTCAGAGTAGTATGCTTTAAAATGCGTTAACAAGTTAGAATTGTTAAGTAAATTGCATTCTTCTGAGAAATTTACGCAAATTTCGCAAGAGTGGATATGTAATGATTTTTTGATTAAATAGCCACATACATAGTTAAATGCATTTTGAGTGGTCACATTTAGCTCCCTGTAGTCACATTCAGAAATCGTTATTGCCCCAACTGATTGTTTTCAAATATATTTAATTTTCATTTAGCGGAGAATTTGTTTTCCTAAGGGAAAAACGAATCCTGGGATTCCTTTCCAGTGTGTGCTCCACTGCCGCTAGTGCCCACAAGCCGCCACTGCTAAACTGGACATACTTAAAACGTCCTGAATTGTTCCTGGACGTACAGATGATAAATGAACATCTAATGGACGTCCTTTGCTATCTGGGACTACGATACAGTAAAATACCTGGAAAAGAACCTAAATATTTGACTTAAAAGGAAAGAACATAAAAAGGAGAAAAATGCATGGACTAATAAGACGAAAATCTGGACTTTTAGGGTATTGTAATATAAACAAATTTTAAAAACAGTCTGGCTCTATATGAAATCTAGCTCTGGGGATGTGCAACAAAAACCAATATAGACAAATTTCAATTTTTTTTTTTTTAAGAGCCTCAAGGTATTGTCGACGCACCATGGTATTATAGAAATTATCACCTTCACAGAGATTTGAAGATACCATCAATGAAGAGATCAAGGTATTTGCAGGTAAACGGTCCAAAAGATTCTAGTTAATACAGGCATAAATAGTAGTTTGTGCAACAAGAAATTTGAGCACGACGCTGCAGGCTGAGTACCCACTTTGTCGTGACGCTTATTCAACTCCCGATTAAGAAACTTTTTTATTTTTTTTTTATTATTATGGAAAAATATAAAAATTGGAAAAATATGACTATTGTTGTTTATTTATTTTAAATACATGTCCTTTTGCTATTTATTTTGTACTAATTTAATTACTGTTTAAAAAAAAAATGAGTAAAGTGAGAATTATTAATAATAAAAAAGCTTTTGTTCACGTTGGTTCAACTTATTTATTTAGAAAAAAATAAACTATTGAAGATCATTAATGTATTCTACTATTTTTGTACCTAATGTTATTTTATCTTTATCATCCTATGAAATTGTTCGTAAATGGAATTACAATATTTAGAATTTTAACAAAACACCTCTGTAAAACACTTTAAAAATTATTCAATAAGGCATATAAAAATCAAATCTGAAACCAGCTACATCTTGATGGATTCTTTATAGCCAGATTTCCCGGTTTTACATTTTTTTGATAAAATTATTTTGTGGTCGTAGGAAAAATATTGTACACCACTTGTGTGAAAGTGTTTCCTCACACTTGCAATGTAATATACTATTTTTGCAGTGTTCCCACTACCTAGAATGGTTATGAAATATATTCGTTCAGTTGAACGCAATAGCATACTTTTTCGATTTGTAGTCAGTGCGTAGATAAGCTAATATCCATGTGGCTGTAGAAAAACGAATATTCAAAAGGATTAAATCTTAAAAATTGTGTAGTGCATAGTGTTAGAGTAGATCCTAATGAAACACGTAAACATGTTATAACCTAAGAAGCGCCAATGGTATCTTATTTGAATACCCTATAGTTATATGAAATTAAAATAAAATTGTAGGTTCGTCGCCGCCGACTAGTAACAATAAAAGCATACAAAAAAAATATCTAGCTTACTTCTTTGATAACAAACTGGTTACCCTTTATTTCTTATAAAAGTGCGAAAACCAATAAAATCCAAACGTTTGAGAACTTTAAAATTTTGACTTGCCCTTTTACATTATATAGAAAATTATTTCCCCTTCCGCTCAAACTATTATTTTTCCTGTATCTATTTTCGTTTTCACGCTACGAGTGATTTTATGTGGCGGTGTACCAAAAATTCTTCGCAATTTTTTTATGAAAAAACGTCTTTAAAATTGTCCTTAGAACCTTGTGCAGTTTTTCAACATCGATCCTAAAAACACGTTTTTTTTCAAGCCTGTTTTTAATCCTTTTCTAATGCACACGTTTTATAGTCTGGGGGTAGTACCTATACGGTATATTCTGGTTTATAGAATTGAAAAATAATAATACTATTTTAACATAGAATATTTACATTTATTTTCTAAAGCTCAAAGTCATCAAAATCTCAGTCTTATAAATTACAAAATAATAGGAAATTTAACGAATTTCAAATATTATACATACGAAAGGATATTGGTATCTAGTTAGCCTGGAAAGGTACCACTAAACAAAATTGAATATGGTTACAACTATGATGTTATATAAATAAGTTTTCAGAGTTTGACATCCATAAGTTGAACGGTGATCGAACTGTGAATTTTTGAAGGAAAAGCCAGATTTTCCTACTTTATTCTGGACCTACTCCAAATATAGAGTTGGAAATAGCAATTCTATTTTTGGGAATACAACCACAATCACACAGGTGCCACGTGCCTAGACTTAGGAAGATTAGCTAGCTAGGTTACTTATTGTAATCAGGGCAAATCTCCCTAAAAAGGCAGGTAATTCCTATATAGCAGGATGTCAGGAAAATGATATGTCCAAGTAAATATATAAACAAAACCTCTAAGTCGAAATAAAAAATTAACTAAAAAAGGTGCTAATCAACAGTAATTTCGGTTAACAACGTCTTGGATAAGCTTGTTACTATGGCAAAATGTGGGACTATGATCCAAAAGATAAAAAGCAATCCAAACTATCACGGGAGCATACAGGGCCGCCGAGAGCCAGGCCGGGCCCCAGGATAATTCTCTAGATCGGGCCCCGTAACAAAAAACTGCCCTTCAAACAAAAACTTTTCCTCTTCTTGTTGAATTGAATTTCCAAAAAAATTTCCTCAAAAAAAAATTCCTCAAGCAAAAACTTTTCTCCTCTACTTCAATTAAAGTTTCTAAAAAAAAAAGTCCTTAAGCAAAAACTTTTCCTCCTCTACTTCAATTAGTTTCTAAAAAAAAAACTGGGCCCCGGGAATTTGACCCGGCTACCCCCCTCTAGTCGGCCCTGGGAGCATATTATATTGCGCTGCTAATTAAATTACCAGAGAAAATTGTGGAACGTCGCAAACTTGCCTCTGCTCACAAGTCGTTGAGTGCAAAATTTGTTCCCGAATCATAAACCTACATGAATATCTACCTATTATAACAACTTATTGAAATAAATCTTGGGTGAAATTTTTGTATTTATAAAAAATAACTAAATTCTTGCGATATATGTAACTAATATGTCTCATTGATCATTTTTGAACCAAATATTTATAATAGTTACTTCGTTAAATTTCCTTCTAAATTAGTAAAAAAACCATCAATATTCCATTATAACAGCCATATTTTCCCCAATGTCGTTGGGCCTGTATTCCAAATCCCACAAACTTGTAAAAATCAGAATTTCTCCTCCGTGAAGGTTGAAGGTTAAATCAGTACACACGTTTGCGCAGTTTTTCCTAGGTTTGAGCCTAAAAGAAGTTGTTCCGAACAATTGGCCTACAATGGCTACTTTTTCAACCAAATCTACGTGCTTGTAGTTCGTTGTATTGTAGTTTTCATTCCAAATTAACCAATTGTACAACGTTGGTGAATATGCCGATGGTAAAAAATCCGGTCTATAGATATACTTTCGCAATGTCCTCATCGCTTCTAATTCGCAATTTTGAAAATGGATAAAAAAATGGTCGAAATATATTTGCTTTGACAGAATCGTCCCTACATCAGCTACTCCTTTGTTGATATTTGTGGATAAACCGCAAGGATAAGACTTGACAAAACTTGAATCATTCTGGATATCTATCATAAATTTAGAATCTTTGGGCCATTTTTCCACGCCGGTTGTCAAAATTACCGGAACATCAATGTTGATGTAGCGTTCTTCTAAAATATCTTCTTCTAAACTTTTATGTGCGTCTATTTCAAAAGTATCTTCGCATAAATCGCAATTCAAATTACTTCGAGTGCGTTCTGTATCTGAAAAAGGCCTTTTTATTAAACACTGTTCATTCTTCAATGGTCTCCAATCGTAATAAGGTAGAATTTTTATTAAAAATACTCTCCCGAATGATGATAACTGCCATGAAATTGCTCCAAATGAAAAAATATTTGAGAGCAGTATGAGTAAAAATGCAATTATGAATATATAGTCAAATATATTAAAAAAATTGCCTCTCTTGGTATTATTCGAAATTTCAAATTCTGTATTTTTCAGTTTTTTGTACGATGAATTCTCTTTTTCTTGACCGTTAGATAATTTTGAGGACTTCTTCATCTGAAAAAAATTTGATAAAATAAATAAAACGAAATCTTATCAAAAACAATTGGAAAAGCTATACCTTCAAATTGATCTATTCTTAAGCGTTTTTTACTAATAAAAATCATAAAAAAATTATCTAATCAATACTGGCAGATTATATGTACCTATTTGATTTATATTTGAACCTATTAATATGTATTAAATTTGTCTCCATCAAATATAAATCATTTGTTTGATTATCTTCCATTACAGTTTTATTTTAACGAGCCGTCCCTGTAGCTGGTATTTTGCCAAGCCACTGAACTATATACAGGGTGTCCCAATAAAAAGTAGCCCACTTCCAGAGCTTATAACTTTTAAACACCTAATCGTAGAAACGTGCGGTTTTTGTTGATATGTATTATTTTGCTATAGGTTTTGCTTCAGTGACACAGAAATTATGTATTACCTAAACAGTGTGTTTTTTAAAAATCTCCTCCTTTAACCTTCCGCCGATAACGTTATGTCTGTCAGACCGACCGATTTGAATTTTCGCGGTTTAGTCCTAACGCATTCTCGGTCGAATCTGTGCTTTATTAGGCATTCCAACGACCTGTCAAACAATAGGTGCCAGTGGGAAATTCTTGTATATTTAAGGGGGTAGCGACATAGACTTGCAACTTGGACGCTATTTTTATTCGAAGTAGTACTCGCCAAGCCTGCCAATTTATGAAGAAATGTATAGGTGGGTTTTTTAAATATTATTTTTATTGTGTTTGACATAAAATATTTAAATGTAATCCATTATTCATGATTTTACGTAAAGTAGATAGAATACACCATATGTCGCCACCCTTAGATATACCAAACCTGCCCACTGGTAATTCATTTGTTTGGAATACCTAATTGGCGATTCAAATTAATTTTCGCGCGCCTGTCATTTGTCACTTATAAGTAGGATGTTTGTTTATTTACATGTTTTTGTTTTGGGCGGGTTTTGTATTTGTGATTGTTTTAACTGTTTTTAGATAATATTCTCATTGTAATAGTGTTTTTGAGTTTCATTTAGTGTTAATTTAAGTTTAAGTCTCGTGCTTTCGTTATAAATATAATATTTATCATGTGTATGACTTATTTGTTGGAAATATTCACCTATTGGTTGCTACAAGAACATCTAGAAATATGTATTCACTAAACCCAGGACATGTTTTATTATGTGGTTTAAAGGACATTTCAGGTACCACACGTTTATTATTGATGAACTTATTTAAAAATCTTACTAGACTTATTCTTATATTATGAAGTGAATCATGTAGTACTTTGTATACATGTAAATGGTAATAAAACCGTCACAAATCAGATTACAGTTTGATTCTAAACAAAGTTTTGTAAAATTTCAATATTGTGAATTTGTAGATATTCATTTATCGTAAAAAACAAAATTTTACGACTTGCACTTGGAAAATATTGAATACTTCAGTTTTGATTTTGACGTTAGAGAGTTTTAGCAAACTTACGTTAGATCTCCGCTAACGTTAACGCTGCTGTTAAAATAATGTTACGTGTACTGTAACGGCATGTGTAAAATATAGTTTTAGCAGATTCAACCTTAACCTTCTTTTACGAATACCTTCATATGTTAATTGTCAATGTCAACAAAACTATTTATTTTCCGAATTTTGTAGAGAGTGTTTATGTTTATGGTGTACGGTGTACGTTAATTATCTTTTGTTGATTGCAATACATTGATTTGTTATATTGTTATTATTGAAGTCGTTCTATTATACCTATCTAATCGTAATTATTCAAATAAAAAGTATAGATTGCAATTTTCTGGGGACGTTTTCGCAGATTTCATTTGTAATATAAACACTATCACATACTATAAGAAATAAACAAATTTAAAGCTAAAAAGTAAGAAAAAACTCGAATTGTAATTGATACAAATTAAAATGTAAACAATGAACATGAACGCCAATGTTGCCAAATGATCAACTGATTTTAAAACAAAATTAATAAATGAACTGAAATTTTAAAAAAATCAATATAATAAATCGGTTTTATAAAAAAATCCTTAAATAAATATAGAGTATGATTACATATTACCACACACAAATTTTGATTTTTAAATAAAAGGTCTTATCCACTTCTTCAAAAGCTAAAATCCGACGACGTAGCGAAGTTTTGCTACTTCTGGCAACACTGAACGATATCCTACTTATACGGACCTTCTACAAATTTCCTCCAGAGGGCGTATCACTTAGCTTGAATCGCGAATGTACCAAAGTATATTAACCGTTGAGTAGCGACAGCTGGGTAACCGAATTCTAGTGCGCCGACGCGAAATAGAGAGGCGAGACGTCATCTAAAGATGTAAATAACCCCTTTCACTTTAGTCCGGCGGCTGATATAGGAATTCGTTGTTGTGGATTTATTAGTACTCTTTTATTGTGTTTTTGTTAAGATTTTTTGGGGTTTTGTGGGTTTTTGTGGGTTTTTCATTATGCCAGGAAATGCATGTACTTATCGACCTTGCTCGACAAAGTCTGTTTTCATTTCCAGAAGAATATGAAAGGTAAGTACCTTGAACTACACACTATATTTGATATTTATCAGATAATAATCTTATTTTTATTGGAACTTATTTGTGAAAATTTGATGTGATAAGGCCTATTTTGTATATTTCCTATAAAATCTACAGGATATACAGCATATGTACCAGGTATAACAATTATTATAAATGGGTTTTTTCGAAGGTTTCTTGTTTAGAAAAGGGTTCGTTTTATACCTGTCATCAGATTTGACACTGATTTCCATATTGTTGCATGAATAACTTGTCAAATCAGATACCTCTGGCAGACACTTTAAACGTGAATTAAAAGTTTTGAGTAACGGGGCGCATTATTAGTCAAAAATTGTATTCAGCGACATGTTTAAACAACGCGAAATTTAAAGTTTGAGACAACTCGATTAATAAATAAGAAGGTCCATAAGTAATAATTTCTATTGTTATCAAAAATCAAAACCCTGTCCACCTACCAACTTTTAAGTTTTCAGCTCATCCGGACGTAAGTAAAAAAATTGAAATTTATCAATAGTAGTGATATATAATATCTTTATATTTACTACATAAGTTAAATACTCATAAATATAAAACTGCATAATGACCAAACCTTTATTATAAATGTAAACTACAAAAGAGTTTTACTTCAAATTACGTCGAGCAGTGTAAACATCATATTCAAGGCCAGTTCATAATTCGAGCAGTGTTTTACTATGTCATTCCGTCAATAACGTCAAAAGAGAGAGAAAGAAAATTTGCACCAATCAAGATCAAAGGCACCGACGCTTTATGTCGCTACTCAACGGTTGATATACTTTGATAGTACCTTCCGCGACTGAGGTTGTCTACAGCGTTGCCAGAGCTGGTACAATTGTACAGATCTGGTACATTTTGACACCGTTTGTACAAAAGTACATTTTTAATATTTCTGGTACATTTTAAACATTGATCTGACGGCACGAATTTTTCAAAATAAAAATCGATGCACTTACAAGTACCATTTAACATAAATATCGATAAATTTCAAAAAGTTTTTAAATCAATAGCAAAAGAAAAATAAGTTTTTTACTGTAAAAAATGGATAGGTTCGTATTATTATTTGTTGGGATTGTTAGGTTTACAGTAAATTTTATATTTTATAGGTGTTGTATTAATAAATAATTTAAACAATTGTAATTAACAGGTTTGTAATAAGAAAATAAAAAGACGCAGATCCAAGGCTTAGTATTTCTTAGCCTTCTACTTCATCAGGTTTATCTAGACTAGACCATCTGATAAAATAATAAATTCCGACACAATTACTTTAGAACAAAATAGTGATTTATCAGAATCTGAATTTGCGACAACGTCATCCAGCTGGGAATGTAGTGATAGATCTCCACAGTAGGTAATTTGTAATATTTTTGTTCTGCAAATAAATCCTGGTTTTCCAATGACGTAGCGTGACGGTTAAAAATGCCATAATTTATTTTAAATAATAATAATAATTAGACTAACCTTCCTCTAGTCTTTTAATTTCTTTATAGAAAAAAAAATATGATCATAAATTTAGACAAAGTTTCTATGGGTAAAACTACTTCGTAATGGAGAGAGAATTTGCACTTTATGTAATTACACAGTTGATGTTGGGGCAGCTCATTTAACAAGGCATGAAAAGAATCAGTTTCACAAAAAAAAATGCCAAAAAGGTTACAAATACAGGAAACATTAAAAAATTGCTTCAAGAATCTTCAGAAAAAAAATATTGACAGTTGTACCTAAAGAAGCCGAGTACAAATATGGGCCTCATCGCCGAACATAATTGCCCAATGTTGCTAATGGATCATGTTCCTAAACTTCTAGTATCTAGTATTCCAAATTCTTAAGTGGTGAAAAATATAAATTGTGGGAGAACAAAGTCTACCCAAATAATTAAAATGTTGAAGATTGAGGCTGAAAATGAACTTGTGCAACAACTAAATAAGAGATGAGACAACAGACATCTCTACAAACAAATTTTTGCCAATTTTATGCCGTTTTGTAGATATGAACCGAAGTTCCATTAAATACCAGTTATTTCACTGGTAAAGGTAGAAAATTGCTCTCCAGATGGTCACTAAAGCTATTTTGGATTAACTGACAAATCTGAAATTAATTACCATAACGTTATTGGTGTCGGTGCAGATAACGCTTCTGTTATGATGGGGCAGATAGGGGGCAAGCAAAACTTGAAGAAAAAGTTCATTCAAATATTTTTGGTGTTGGTTGTATATGTCACTCCTTACATCTATGTGCATCAGAAGCGACAAAAAAAATCCTTTTACAGTAGAGTAGTTTGTCCAAGACATATACAACTATATATCGAAAAGTCCAAAAAGGCTTACCGTTTATAAAGAATTTCAAGAATTTATTGACATGAAACACCATAAATTGTTAAGATTAAGTCAAACAAGATGGCCTTGATTAGAGATAATGTACAAGTGCGTATATATAATAAAAAAAATTATTCGAATATGTGAAAAATGTATATATTCAGTTTATCATCTAAACACATTTACAGAGGTGCTACAATAGGTTGTACAAAATAACCGGAAAAAGCCTGTAATAACTAGATAGGAAAATCATGTGTTGAAAATATTGAACTTAAATTTTGCTTAAAAATCTCTATATGTAAGTTCGAGTGGCCAGCAATTTATATTCATTTTAGGAAAATTTTGTGTTTAGCAAAAATTATAAAGAATAATATTAGAAGTAACTTTTATTTGAAGAATTTTCTTCTGCAAACATAAATAACAGATATATTGCATAAAATATAAAAACAACCTCCTATAAAGTTCCTCCCTCTCCCAGATATTCCGACCCTGCCAAAAATCTAATTAGTTCACCGCAGGCCTGAATAAGGCTTAAGTTTAAAATTTGGTGTTTTTCTCTTTATCCGTTTTTGAATTTTCTTAAAAATTCGAATTTTATACTTTTTCTCAAATATCTCGAATACGGTTCATTTTAGAGAAATTATATATGGGACAAGAATTATAGAGAATCATATAATAAATAACTTTTATTTGATCAATTTTCATAAAAAATTGATTTTTTTACATTTTATCAAATTTCTCGAATAGGGATCATTTTAGGAAAATTTTGTATTAGACAAAAATTATAGAAAATAATATTAGAACTAAGAAGTAACTTTTATTTAAAGCATTTTTATCGCAAAACGTAAATAACAGATATATTCTATAAAACATAACAAGTATTAAAAATTAAAAAAACCGACTTCAAAAACGTGCAGATGCCGTCACCACATCTTAAACAAATTTATGTGGGACCACCCCTGAGGTATCCACTTGCTAACAAAAAAAGAATCATATAAATCGGACAAGGTGGTAAAGCATTATCGCTAAACATACATAAAAAATGAAGAGTTTGAGAATTTTCTGACGGACCCAATTATTATATTTTTACCAAATTTATATGGAACCACCCCTGAAGTACCCCCTTTCTAACAAAAAAATAATTATTGAAATCGGACACCGTGTTGGAGAATTATCGCTGAAATAAGAGTCTTACACATATATAGGAGCTCCTAGTGAAAAGGTATCATCATATTTAAAAAACCAAAATATTAACGTAGCTTTTAAAACCAATAATACGCTTGGGAAGTATATTAAAAACAATAAGGGTAAAACTAATCCTAATAATAAATCGGGGGTATATAAATTAACTTGTGGTAGTTGTCCAAAATTGTATATTGGTCAAACGGGCCGTACTTTCAAAAAACGCTATTCCGAACATTATAATAGCTATACAAAAAACAAAAATAATTCTACTTACTCAAATCATATTTTAGCTGAAAATCATTCTTTTACAGACAACTTTGAAATTTTACATATAGAAAATAAGAGCCTTAAATTAAACCATTTAGAAACACTTGAAATAAATAGATTTAAAAATTCAGATAACTTACTAAATGATCAATTAGATATTAATAATTCACCCTTATTAAATCTCTTTCCCAGTTTTCTGTGAGATAATCCCGGTAATGGGTTATCTTATTGTTATCTGATGGATATTATAATTACCTAAGTACCCTTATTTACTTTAAATAGTTAGTTTATTTTGTAATGTTATTGATGTTTTCTTAAGTACTTTGTTTTGTTAAATTATTTCGTATATATATTGGATACCGAATTGTAAATAGTCACATTTGAAAAAGAAGTTGTACTTCGAAACATATGTCATGTTAGTGTTTTTTTAAAAAATTTTATTTTTAAAATAAAAGTGTGAAAATCTACCAAATTTGGTTTTACTCTTTCAAAATTAAATGGATTTTCATCAAGTAAAGGCCGAAACAATAAATAAGACCATCTGGAAATTTTGGAAGATGTAGACTCGGGACAGGAGTCCTCCGATAATGATGAAAATTTGGTTGTAAGTGAAGAAAGAGAAATACTAGTTCGAGGGGCTGCAAGAATTCCTTGTCTCATTGGTAAAAATGTAACTACGAAATGGCGAAAATATCCTGCAACAATGCCAAATGTACGAACACGTGCCGAAAATATTGTCGCCCATTTACCAGGTCCTAAAGGAGTTATCCGGAACAAAAATAAAGCTTCAGAAATATGGGAATGCTATTTTTCTATTAATATGTTAGAGAAAATTGTTACTTACACTAACAAATTTATAGAAACGCAAGCTTATGATGTATCGCAAAATAGATCTTATAGACCCACTGATTTATTAGAAATTAAAGCATTATTGGGGTTGTTATATATTTGTGGTGCTAGCAGAGATAACCGACGAAACGCTGAAGATTTATTTCGGACGAATGGAATGTCCATGGATATCTTCAGGCTTACTATGTCCCACATAATATTTAAATTTTTGTTAAAACATATTCGTTTCGACGATAAAACCACCAGACAAGAAAGGGTGAAATTAGACAAATTAGCCCCGATTATGGAAATTTACGACGAGTTTGTATCTAATTTACCTAAACACTATAATATGTCCGCATATACAACTATAGACGAAAAACTTGAAGCTTTCCGAGGCAAATGTCCGTTCAAAGTTTATATGCCATCGAAGCCTAATCGTTACGGAATAAAAATATATGCCTTTGTAGACGCCAAAATGTTTTACACCGCAAATTTGGAGGTCTACCTAGGAAAACAGCCTGTTGGACCCTATCAGAATGATACTTCGAATTTAGCATTAGTACCTCGTCTTTGTTCACCAATCCTGCTATCAAATAGAAATGTTACAATGGACAACTTTTTCAATAGCCTGGGTATGTCAGAGATGCTTCTAAGGCAACACCGCCTTACTACTATTGGAACTTTACGCAAAAACAAACCTGATATACCTCCAGCAATGTTGTTGCCAAGACCAGAAAAATCAGTTATGTTTGCTTTTAGAGACAAGTGTACACTCGTTTCGTACTGTCCAAAAAAAACAAAAATGTCCTATACTATCGACAATGCATTACGATGCTGCTATTGATAGGGAAACTGGCAAACCAGAAATAATTATTGATTATAACCAAACGAAAGGAGGTATCGACGTTGTTGACAAAATGTGTGAAGCCTACAATTGCGCTCGTGCAACTCGTCGTTGGCCAATGGTCATTTTTTATAGTGCTATGAACGTCGCTGGAATAAATAGCTATCTAGTTTATAATAGCAATACTCAAACAAAAATCGATAGAAGAAGATTTTTAGAAAATCTAGGATTTCAGTTGCTTGATGAACATATTCGCCGACGAGCTCAACAGCAAAACATTCCTAGGACAATTCGTTTGCGGCTTGCTGAAATATGTGAAATAGAAACTGAAAATATTGCTCTTGAAAATAGAATTTATGGACGCTGTACATATTGTAGCACAAAAAAAAGTAGAAGAACAAAATATACTTGCAGAAATTGTAAGAAATATTTGTGTCTGGAGCATCTTACTGGATTTTGCCAAGCTTGTTACGAAGATTATGAGGCCCAAAATGTTTAGTAATAGTTCCAGTAATCTATATGGTTTTCGAGAATAAAACTGTTTTTTTTTTTCGTTATTTTACTACCTATCTACTATGTTAATCATTCGTTTAGCTAAAAATTTGAGTTTTATTTTAATATTTTAATTTGAATAAAAATCAGTCTATAAAAATGACATTTTTTTTCTATTACCTCCTAAAATTGTTTAAACAACAAAAAATTCATACATGTTATATTCCAGCATAGATAATAGAGCAAATATTCATGTTATAATGAAACATTTTATTTCCGCAATTGATTTCCATTTTTTTTTTTATTTTTTGAAAAAGTCGGTTTGATAGACCGACGTTATCTAAAATTTTAAAAATGTTCACGTTATCGGCGGAAGGTTAAATTCACTATAACCAAATTTTATCAAATGGAAACGGGCTACTTTTCATTGGGACACCCTGTATTATATAAAAACGTTTTATACCTGTGGTTAGGCAAACCTTTTTCACATTATTGTATTGCCTGTTGCCTACCTGTCATTTAATACTATTTATTAATTTTATTACTTAGAAATTAAATAATTATTGAACAAAACTATTTAAAGAAGAGGCTTTTATTGTCTAATTTAAACTTAACCTAATGAATAATTCAATTCGTCAAAATTGAAACCCGAAATAGTTTTTAGATTTACTTCAATCAACAACTAGGTCATTGCCTTATCGCAAATACAGAAATAGAATAATTGTGCATCTCTACTTACTTTTATATTTTAGAAGAGACAACACGACAACAGGTTGTTGAATTAAGAAAATATAGAACTGCACAAGATTGAAATTCAAATGATTTCACGCATACTCAAGTTTATCGATTATTTAAATTTTGTGAAATTTGCCGCCACAAAAACAAATGCAACAAAAGTTCAATGGCGTCTTGCGAGCATGCGCATTATGTCTTGTCAGTCTTGACAGACATTACCCGCAAATGCTGTTCACACATTTGTTTGTTGTCAGAAATATATCAGTTTTTTAAACAATTCAAAGTGATATCAGTCAAAATCAGACACACTATTGTTGTCTGAATGTAATACAAGAAAAATCACTCGAATGTGATCGTCGCAACAAAAGAAAAACGCGTTTTACGGTTACGTCACTAGGCCATTTTGTATTTGGTGAAATCTTTGTTCGCGAACAGAGAAAATTCCAAAGGTTTTTCGTAAACCTCGTATTCTTTTTTAAAGTGTTATCAAAAATTCTTCAAAATTCCGGTGCCTACGAGAAACAGAGATCCCGGCCTCTACGGTAGCGGTGATATGAATAATAAAAGGAAAAATCGAGGGGGCCCTGTAAGGTTAGTAACATTTTCAAAACAAAAACAATAAAACCCATCGAAGGTACTTAGCAGTTAGACTAGAGTATGTGCAACATCCACATTACTCACTAATTACTTTAATTGTAATGTCCATTGCACCGCAGGAAATATGTTCTTTCAGCTCCCTTCTTTTGATCTACTTTTCATTTGTGAAATATCTGCATATTCATCAAAAATTTATCAGTCTTCCATTTTCCTTATTTCTAGATTATCAATTTGATTTAAAGGTTTTCTGATAAAAAGATTAATGTTCTATTAAATAAATTATAAATTTCATAATTTTAAATTGTAATAAGTTATCAATTTCATAATTTTAAGTACCTACACCTGATTGAATTAACTACAAAAATTAAAGGTATCAGATGTTTACCTTAATACTTAAAATAAAATTTTAACTTATTTAAACAGGAATTGGTTTTGTAAATCAAAAAAGTGCCTAGGTAATGTTAATTGATAAAGATGCACAGTCCTTTTAAAGAAATATATATTTAGCAAGGTTTATTTTGATGTGTAAGCTCATCATTTACCATGAGTAAAAAAGCAGATAATTTCTGATGGAACTGAGATAAGCAATGAATCATTGTTATGTTCATGAAATGAGAAATATCTGCAATTGGCAAGTATGATTTAAATTAAAGGCAAAAATAAATAGAAGAGGAGCATAATGCAATATAGTAAGTATACCACTGTCATATTCTTCAATCCTATTTATTTTAGGCTAAGCTAACACAAAAACCAATTTGAATTTACCCACAAATTTTATATTAAAATTTAGTTGAAAACAAAAAAATATATTTTTCAGTTTCAAAAATTAACTAGATAATAAAACAGTATATTGATAAATAGATTTGATCTAGGTAGTATTTTGTTAAAAACACCAAAAAATCATAAATTATCAAAATGGTTAGGGAACTAGGCTGCATTTTGTAAAAAGAAATCTCACTATATATTACCACACCAAAATGAGCCGAGGAAAAATCCCAGTCATCAGGTCTGAAAAAAGTGGCAGCTAGATGTAAAAAAAGTTCGTTTTAGAAAAAAATTATGTATACTTATTTTAAATAAAAATTATATTGCATTTGAATTTGGTTGTTTTATTAATAATTAATAAGAATTAGGGCTTACAAATAATTTTTAACAAATTTTAATGTTAGTGGTATTGAAGTTACAGCAGAGTATATAAAATGTATAAGGATCAGACAATATTAGGCATATTAATGTTAACAATCAACTGACAGTTTTTGAATCCATATACAGTAATAAGTTGAGAAAACTGAGCAATGGGGAGTTCTCAATTTTTTTTATTTCAAAAATTGATAAATACTTAAGAATAAACATAGGTTTCATTCATAATTTTTTTAAATTCATTCCCAATTTCAAGAAAAAAATTATTAAAGTAGTGGTTTTTAAAGTTTAAAGGGTTACATTCATAATTTTACATTTGGCAACGTTACCTAGTAAATTGATGACAGACGTGCCAATGCCTTTATATAAAACAGATTTCTATTGGTTTACAGACTTGTAGTGATTATAACTGATATTGGATTATTATCATATAAATAGTAATGCAAAAATGGTCTAATTTAAAAACCTAATGTAGGTTGATATATCTAAATGATCGAATGTTTTGATTTGTTATAAATAATAATAATTACTAGTTTTGTTGATTTTTTTTTATTATATTATCACAGTGTTGTTTAAAAAGCATATTCAGAAGTAATCCAGGTAATTCTTGTAGTTTAGGGTCCTTTCTAATCTAATTATTGCTTATACACGAATATAATAACAAAAATAATGCAGCTTTATTTTGATTTCACTGAATTACAATGTAAATAAAATATATTTAGGTATTGTAAACACCCTTGTTTAAAGAATAGGCGTTCAGTATATTTTATTCTTTGTTATGTCTTTTTGTAAGATGAAATATATGTAGGTATGTTGGAATTGTTGGGTGTCTTGTACCAAATTGTTTAAATTCAATGGATACAAAACATTTATATTTATCTCAGGAACTTAAATATGAAAAAATTGTGGTTTCAGGCTGTAGGATTTTATAAAAACATACTATACAATACTGATTGGGAGATCATTTCAATATATTATTATGTATTAATTTATTATAATAGTAAACTGCTTAAAAACAGTAAAAATTTCGATCAAAATATAAACACACAAAAGAGGTTGGAATAAAACAACAAACAACTGATACAAATGCAGCAATCAGGAATTAATCTGAATTATTCTGAAATCATTCTCCCTTTCTCTTAATGGATGAATCCCTAAGAAACAACCTTACACCATGGCTAAATGTCCAAAGTGAAAGGTAGCTCTTTAAACTTTAAATACCTGACTTTATTTACCAATTTTAACTACCTAGAAAAAAATCTGATGTGTCCAACACATGACTTTCCTATCTAGTTATTATAGGCTTTTTCCAGTTATTTTGTACATCCTATTGCAGCACCTCTATAAATGTTTAGAGGATAAACTAAATATATACATTTTCCACATACATCTACATCGAAACATTTTTCTATAGATATTCATTTAAAACGAAAATACTGAAAAATTTAAATTTAGCACTTTTCCTACAATTTTTCCATTATGGTCCATTTTAGAAAAATCATGTATAAACAAAAATTACAGAGATCGATATCGCACACAACTTTTAGTTCAACAATTTTCATAAAAATCAGAATTTTGCACATTTTGTCAAATTTCCCGAATACGGACCATTTCAGGAAATTTTGACATAAAGCAAAAATTATAGATAATAATATTAGAAGTAACTTTTATTTGAACAATTTTTTTCTCCAAACATAAATTACAGATATATTCCATAAAATATAAAAACTGCCTCCCATAAAGTACCCCCCAGATGTTCCGACTTTGTCCAAAATCTAATCATTTCACGTCAGGCCGAAATAAAACTTAATTTTAAAATTTATTGTATTTTTCTTTATCCATTTTGAGTTTTCTTCAAATTTTGAAATTTACACATTTTCTCAAATATCTCGAATACGGTCCATTTTAGAGAAATTATGTATAAGATAAAAATTATAGAGAATTATATTACAAACAACTTTTATTTGAACAATTTTTATAAAAAAATTATTTTTTTACATTTTGTCAAATTTCTTGAATACGGACCATTTTAGGAAAATTTTGTATAGAACAAAAATTATAGATAATAATATAAGAAGTAACTTTTACTTGAAGAATTTTCTTCCCCAAACGTAAATAACAGATATATTCCATAAAATATAAAAATGACCACCTATGAAGTACCCCCCAGATGTTTCGACTCTGCCCAAAATCTAATCAGTTCATTAGACGCTGGAACAAAGCTTAAGTTTAAAATTTGGTGTTTTTCTATATATCGGTTCATGAGTTATGGTGGATACACACACAGACATCATCGCGAAAAAAGCCTCAAAACGTAAAAATCCGTCGAAAACTTGAGATCGGAAAAAATGATGATTCCTATACCTTCCTTATATCTGTATACAGATAGGAAAGTAAAAATGTTAAAGAGTCAAAAATTTGGCAGGGTGATTCTTTTATCATATATTTTGGATATTTTTCATTATTTATGTATTTTCTTTTCAGAGGAGAATTCCCCATTAAAAAATTAAATGACAAGATATGTTTTGAATACAACGTTGTTGACAGAAACTTTTGAAAACCAATTGTTATTATTAAACTTAATAAATGTGTCTTTAACAAATGAGGAGCTTTGGGGCAAAACCGAATAAATCCACTATAAACGATTTTTGGGAAAACACGATTTTCCAAATAGACAAAAAGTACTGGTTTTTCGTTTGTTTGGTGAAAACAATAATATTGGAGGCATCATAAATAATACACCCTCTGCAATTATAATTTTGAAAAATAATTTTTGTTAAAAATATGACAAAAAAAAATGATTTATTCAGTTTTACCCAAATCAAAATTCAAAACTACCCGCACTAATAAAAAGTGGATTTATTCGGTTTTGCTCCAATGCTCCTCAAATGATCCAATCCCAAGTATTTTAAAACCATCCACTAATTGTTACCTAAAATTATATACTTATAAAACCAGAGATTGTAGTAACATAGCAAATAATTTACTTTACATATAGTTCTTTAAATAATGGGGTTCATTTCTCTATAACACATCTTATACCCAAAAATTATGGATGGTTCCAAAATAGTATTTTTGGGTATTATTCATTAAGGGCTGATCTTTTCACCTCTGAGTAAAGTTACATGTAGGTTCACTTGACAAATTAACAAACAATAGCCCTACAGTTTAATCAGCAAGTAGTTACTTTCAACTTTACTCAGATGTGAAAAGACTGGCCCTAAGTATATCAATATTTTTTTTATGATTTGGTTAGTGGACATCTTGGCTGATAACTAAAAGAAAGAAGATATAAAATGCTTGGCATTCTATATTATACTCTTCACAGTTTAACAAACCCCCCTTCCCTTATCCTCAATTTTCAATCAGATTTTTTCAGAATCAATATGCTTCATCCCCTTATAAAGCTTGATTTTTCTGAAGATTTCAATTTGATATCGTTTTTGTTTCTGATTTAGAATTTTTTTTTTTTTTAATATTTAAATTCCCCTTTACCCCCCATTTTGTTAACAATTTTTTTTTAATCAATTAGGCTTCATCCTCTTATAAAGCTTGATTTTTCTGAAGATTTCAATTTGATATCGTTTTTTGTTTCCAAGTTATTACTGATTTTTTCAATATTTCAACCACCCTCTTCCTTATAGAGCTTGATTTTTACTAAAAATTTCATATATCACTTTTTATTTATTGATTTGTTTTTTTTTTTTTTTTAATTTAACCCCCCAATTTTACATAATTTTTTTTTTTTTTTTAATCAATAGGCTTTGTCCACTTATAGAGCTTGACTTTCTGAAATTTTCAGATTAACATTGTTTTCTGTTTTTTGACTTATTGTGCAGACAAAAAACGTGAAATAGGAAGGACAGACGGAACTATAGTCTAGAGAAGAAAGGGTTGCAGTAATTTAATTTGTAGAAAGTAGTACAGGTTCAAGAGGTAGACATTTTATTTATACCTCATCCTTTAATGCTTATTTGTAGTTAAATTGAAAATTGTAATATATCTGATCGGCCTAATAAAAGTTTTCGTTTAGATTTAATCATGATTAACAAATACCAGTATGTTCCTGGGCATGTTAGCTTTATCCTTGTCACATGATATGACGTCACATGGCATAAAAATCCGACGCATTTACATAGATAAATATAAGTAAGGAGACGTTTTTGATAATAAAAAACTGTAACATTATTTCATTGTTAAAGGTTGTGGTTTTTATGAAGTGAAAGTAGAAAAGTTATTGTATATGTACAAATATTGCACAAATTTTATGGACATTTAGTTCATTTATTACTAAAACAAGAATAAGATATGTGATAAGTACAATGAGCAAAGACACTTTATTTTAAAGAAATGTAGGAATATTACATAAATTCATAACAAAGAACTTCAAGTAATAATGCACAATTTTAATGAACAAGATTCGGGAAAAGCACTGATTAAGGACGACTATATCTCAGATTAATTTGGAGGAGAATTAAAAAAAAAAAATGCAAATACTGATGTCATGATCTTAGTACCAGTTTTTTTGGGGGTCTTTATGAGAAGGCTCTATGTAGGTAAGCTATTTTTCAGAAACAGCTGCTTTAATTGATTTTAAAATTTCAATTGCTTGCTTCTTTTAGCTGATTGCAGATTACGTTCTTCAAATTATTTTTTCTGGATTGCTGAGGGAAATTTGGAAATAGTGTGTGCACAGGTTTCAAATGTCTGCTATTTATGGGCATGTATCCCAATAATCTCTACTGCAGAGGCACTTCGAAACAGGAGAGCAAATACGAGCTATGAAAAAACATCTAATGTACATGAAATTTATGTTTATGCAACCGAATCAGCATTTTACATGACCATTTACATTAAATATTAATAAATGTTAATCACATGTTTCATTATTTAAATAAAAGCTCCTGCACTTACCTTTTTTTTTAAGTTTATTGTCCCTTCTCAGTGACATGCTACAATCCCCTGCTTAGCCAGATCATCATTCTTTGGAAATAGAAAATATTTAATGTCCCTTTCCTTCTTAATTGCTATAATTTTTACAAGTAGCCACAACACAATTAGACATTTTATGGTTTTTTATTGTAATAAAATTGCTGAAGAGATCACCACAATTTAATTTAAACTCTTCAAATAGGTACTTCAAAAATGAACAGCAGACAAGTAAAATCATTATTTCCTATCATTATATTTTTATAATTAGAAATAAAACTTTTAAAAAATTATTCAAGTGTCAATCAAATACATTACATCATGCCCTGAAGGTGCGAAATTTGGTCGAATTAGTAGCATACAAGTATTTGTGTATCCTGGATTTAATCACGTTTCCATGGTTTTTACTGTAATACAAATTTTTTGTTGACAGATAAGTCAGACTTTATTTATTCATAGCCCTATCATATGTATTTTAATTGATTCAGAATTTTGTATTAGTATATCTTATAATTTTACAGTCATATAAGAATGTTGAGTGCATTAGAAAATTATGCAAGCACAAGTACATGTAAACGACCTAGTGGGTATAAAGCATTATCTTTAGAAGAAAAAAATATTGTAATTAATTTATTTAATAATCTTCCAAATAGCCACTAAATGAGAGACCTATACTGGAGACAGTGTATAAACATTATTAAAGAAGATACAGTTATTGGAGAAGTCTCACATCTGAATAAGCCCCCAGGCAGAAACAGGACATTTATTGAAATTTGAGTAAAGAATGTAATAAGGGAAATTATACATTCTTTTTTCTTTTAAAATGAAATTCCTATGCTTAAAAAATTACACTCAGAAATAGAAAATAGCCCCACTCTATATTTTCATCTGCACAAAATGTTACATGAATTAAATTTTCGTTAAAAAAAAAGTGACAGAAACAGCTTTTTAACAGAGAAAAACGAAATCATTGCGTGGAGACATGATTATTTAAGGAAAATAGTGGACTCAAGTAATCAGCATAAACAGGTATTTTATTTAGATGAAACAACAAAAATTTGGCAAGATAACTAAAAAACGAGCCTTTATGGAAGGGATCTTTTGTGGATTAAAAAATCCAACAGGACAAAGAAGTGATTGAATAACCCACATTGGAAGCACTGATGTATTTTTCCAGATGGCTTATTAATGTTTGAGTCAAAGTAAACAAAAGACTTACCATGAAGAAATGGATGGCCCTATGTTTAAAAATTGGTTTCAGAACATTATAAAAAATTCCAGCCAACTCTGTTATTATTTTAGATAATGCATCCTATCACAGTCGATTAAAGAAGTCACTATAACCCTCAGAAAAGACAATGATAATAACATCAGTAGTTATAGTGAAGACAGTGACTTAACTTTTTTCAATCTATGATTTTAGGTGTTACTTTTAATACCAGGAGATTAAAAAAGTTTAATCCCATTAACAACATATAATCCTCCTTGTTATTAATTGGTTAAATATAATTCATTCAATGTTGAAGTGCAACAATTTTGTCAGAAGCATTAGGTTTATTTTAATTTTTTCTAAATAAAACAACTTTTTTCGTTCAAAATTTAATCTACGAAGTGCGTATATACTATTTTATATGTCATGACCTTATTTATACTATAGAAACTTATTTTGCAAAGTACGCCTATGGAATGTGACGTTATATCCCTACTTTTACTGCACTCCTCTTTTATTCAGACTATAAACATAATAGCTGCTTTCTATTGCTGGCCAAAACTTTAATGAATTATTAACCAAGTTAATGTAGGACTCAACATTCTATTTAAATGGATTTGTGTAAACAGGTTTAATTTTTTGATTTGCCTGACACTGGATCAGGTTCACCAATTACTAAAGATGAGCTAGACCTATAGGGATCTGACAAAGATGTATTCTTCTAGGTAGAAAAAGGATATGGCTTATATTTTGTCCTTCTATATTTCTAAATAATTTTATTTTTATTTTCAGGAATCAAAGGCCTTCCAGGTCTGTGGTATCCGAGGGAGTATACAATAATGCCCATTTTATGCATGCCTCTACTGCACAAGTTGGGAATATAGTACGAATCACAACAGCTTCCGGTATTGTTTGGGAAGGTACACGATTTTTTTCTAGTTTAAAAGTAAAATGTAATTAATGTTATAGAAATTACAAACAATTGATCTGTTGAAAATACATACAATTAAAAAAAACACATGAAACATGCACTAATCCACAGTTCTGAAATTCCTTTACACATTGTTCACATTAGACCTTTTTACATCGTCGCCTTATTGCAGAAATGTTGTATGTCACAAAATGTAAATTGTTCAGGAGAACAGTACTTCTGAATCGATATGCCACTGATGGAAATTCAATATTTTTTTACTAAGCTGTAAGAGGAAAACACTGCGAATGGAATTACAATAGTTCTATATGGGATAGAGAGGGGCACCATAGCTTCATTTGGAATTAATAACGAACATTACAATTTTTTTAACATACAATAGTTCTAAATTAAGGCGACGACATACATTTTGTTATTTAACATTTTTTTAATCAGCAAAACATTCTTTTAATCTTAAATTATACAACCAATAATAATTAATTTTTCAGGAGTATTTAAAACATTTTCAAGTAGATTCGATGTAGTATTAGAAGTGGCAGCCAAGGTAGAAAACCCAGACAGTCCCAATGCCCAGATAAATGTTGAAACTTACGTGGACAAGCTCATATTCAAGGCGTGTGATATTTTGACGATGGTAGCCCAAGATGTAGATCTAGAATACCCAACTAGAGATACTTTCCAAACAGATACTGCCATTTCAGCTCGACTTAATGGTACCTCAAAATTAGAAGAAAAAGAGTTAGAACCATGGGACTCTTCTGGAATGAATGGTACTGATATACAACTAGAGTTGGACCAGGCCAACGGCTGGGACGCTAATGACATGTTTAGAAAAAACGAGCAAGAATATGGAGTCCAAAGTACCTTTGATCAGTCTTTGAGAGGCTACACGGTACCACTCCAGACAAGCGATTCTGCCGATTATAAAGAAGCTGAGGCTAAGGCTAATATGATCGCTAGTGAAATAGAAAATCAACCTCAGCATAAGGCTAGATTAGAATTAGAAAATGGCGATGAAGAAGCCGCATTTGCATCTGTCGTCAGGCCTCAAGAGTCTAGTTCCAATGGTAAATTTATTTTGTTGTATTTTTGGATATTTAAATTATGAATATTTATTTTTTATGTGTATGCTTTTAATTAGTAGATGAAGTAGTTGATATAATAAAAACTTAACTATTTTATTCTCTTTTGTGTATTATATAATTAACGTTAGCATCTCTTTTAATCATAGCAATTCCGACTAGCAAACATAGCAATTTAGAGAACGACCTTTCCGTAGGTAAATATATTCCTCCAGCTAAACGAAAGAACCAAAATAGTGGAAAATTGGTGAGAAGTACTCCACCTCCAAGCCAGAGCAGTAGCAACCAAAATACTCCATCTCCAAAAGAAAATAGGCCGCCAATGAGTTACCCCACACATCCATCACCACATCAGAACAATGTTCATGTTCAACAAGGTACTTTTTCTTTTGACTTAATTCAGCTTGAATCACCACGAGTGTTAAAACAGTTTTTCTTGTATTATTTTTCTAAGGTTACAGGATACAGTATATTAATGATGAAAAATTGTTTCAGTTCCCCAAAATCCTCCCCACAACCCTCCTCACATTCACAATGCTACAATACATTCCCCTCCTATGAACATGCAGCCCCATCCTGTACCCAATCATGCCCGCCCACATTCTCATACTCCCCCACATCAGTACCAACAACCTCCCGTACAGCAGAGGCAGCCCCCTCCACCGCAACAAATGCAGCAACAACAGCAGCAACAACAACAGCAGCAACCCCATCCTCCAAAACTTCAAATGAATGGAGATGCAAAGGGAGCACCTCCGACCCGTCAACAGAGGGTCTACCAGAATCAACAGTATCCACCTGAAATGAAGCCAGAGGTTGTTCAGATACAACAAGGACATCCATCAAGACACAGAGATGAAACCATGAAAGATCTGCACCAGTTTGCTCAAGATTTTAAATTGGCACCAATGTCCAATGAACAACCTCCACAGATGCAACCTCCTCCTCCCCCTCAAGTAGTCGAGCAAGTAGTAAGTGTCATTTATCTCCAAATTGTAGGGTCTGTCATACTGTACCTTCGTTTGTGCGATTTTCTAGATTCAACAACCAGTGCAGGCAATTCCGCCTCCTAATAAACCTCCGCAGCAACCCTCTCCTCCGCAACCCCAGCAATCAATCAGCCCCCAACAGCAGGAACATATGGAAAAAGTAACAAACACATTAAAAAAGTCTACCTTGAATCCAAACGCCAAGGAATTTGTTATGAATCCATCCTCAAAACCTTTTCAACCCAGGTAACTTTTTTTTTTCTATATTTGTAACTGTGTATATTATCTGTATAGCTTATGTTAGAGTAAGGTTAAATTATGCAACACAATAAATAGTCTAAAAGAGTTGACCTCAAAAATCGAAGAGAAAGATTATTTTAGTATCGAATTTTGTAACAGACAGACAAAACGTATTTAGGTTCTTTTTATTATTATTGCCAATAATTTTTTTTTTTTTTTTTTTTCGATGCGGTCTAAGATAATCCTGCCCTTCATTTTTTAAGGTCAGAGTCTAAAACGTATCGCTCTTGTGTAAATTATAAAAATCTTTTAACAGCATTCTGGTGTTCCTCAAGGGAGCTTTTGTGAGCCATTGCTTTTCAATGTATTCATTAATGATGTAGATTCTTTAGTCCTCTACTATTTGCAGATTTAAAATTGTATTCTATTATAAATTCATCTTTTAATTTTCTTTGTCTTCAGGAATATTTAAATATTTAATTGATTGTGTTACAAAAGTTTAAAGTATATCAAATTTAGTGTCATTAAATTAATTACACAAAATGTAACACTGACATAATTAAACAATATAATTACACACAAATTCAATCTGTGTTTCTGAAGGGGAAGCATCCTGCCACCACCATGTTACTGCCCATCTCCATCACCATCACCGAAACCATTTCTTAGGTATTCTTAAATTAAATTTAAAAAAATACCTGGCTAAGAAGATACTTTTTTAAGTTGTTTTTTGAAATCAGTTCTTATAGTCAAGACTAACTTTATTATACAAGTGGTAGTTCAGAAATCACTAAACTACAAACTTAAATCTCAATGGCAAATGTCATTATTATACAGTTGTAAAAGTTTGGTATGCAATTAGCTGATAGGTTTTTAATGCCTTGCTTATCTGACATTAGGATATTCTTCAAACATATATTTTAAAAAATCGTTAAGAAAGTATCTTTTATGTCGGTTCCACGCCAAACGGACTTTTAAGAAACAAAACGCAAACTTTGTCCTCTAGGCGACTTTCGTCAAACATTGTATTAACACAAAACGTCCGTTGTGGACTGTTTCATTATCAAAAACAACACAATATCAATGTATAACAATTTTGGAAATCTGAAATTGAATTAAATTTCTCATACGAAATTAAGGAATCCATACTAATAATCCCAAGGTAAATCAGAAAAAAAAATGAAAAATGTGCCTCAGTCAGGATAATTGAACCTGGATCTTCGACTTGAGATCTCACTGCCTTACCAATTAGTCCACAGCTTATAGCTACAATGACCTAATTGGCAATTTGGAAGTATCAGATGTGTGGGGTCTTTCATTTTGAGCTGCATATTGGCTTAAAGGAGAATTGAGTTGAAAGAGCAGTGACTAGATTTGAAATCTAATATCTTCAAATTGCCATTTCGGCCCTTATACTTATAAGCTCAGGTGCACTAATTGGTAAGACAGTGAGGTGTAAACTCAAGAATCCAGTTTCGATTTCTTTGGGTTATTTTTACCTCGAGATTGTGAGTATGGATTCCTAAATTTCGTAGGAGGAATTAGGATATTCTTTCTCAGACTCTGTTTATTCTAACCCCTCTTTACTATCAATGTGTTTACAATTTTGATTCTGTTTAATTGGATGTTCTACGTTTGGTGACTATGTAAACTGCTCTTAATTTTTAATTGAAAATGATCGTATTCCGGTCAATATAGACTAAGTTCTTGTTTTGTTTCTGTTTAGTCCGAGATTTGTTTAGTTTTTGGTTTGTTACTACTATATTTAATTTTTAAACTAGAAGGAGCTTTTTGAATTTTATTCATAAAAATACATACAAAGTGGGATAAATAGGCATAAAAATATCTATTACAAATACTTATTTGTGGTGAATGTCTATAAAATAAATAATTAATAGAACAGATTTATCAAAAACACATTAAATAAGATTTTTGTTATAACAGATAATTTAGAGTATAAGTTTTATCTTGACTAAACTACATAAAATATTGACTAGAAACATCTGATGATGTGAAAGAACAGATATCTTTCACTTTCTTTTACAAACAGTACCAGTTGTGTTTTAAAGCTTTTAAAAGAAGTTGCTCTCTGTGATATATAATTGAACAATTTTGAACCTAAAAATACATAGATTCTTTGTCCTATAGATTTAGAAGTATTTTGTTCTTATAGGGTATTGATGGATTAATTACCATTAAGCTTGATTTTTTTTTAATAACTCCTGCCTTTACTGACTTTTAAATAAAATTTTTCAAAATCCCCCTTTATAGAGCTTGATTTTTGCTAAAAATTTCAAATTGATATCATTTTTCACTTATCGTGCAGACAAAAACATGATATCGGACAGCCCGAACTAAACGCATAATACTTTTCACAGAGTGGTTTGTTGCAGGATTCGATGGGTGACGTATTAGCGGTAATTTAATTTCTGTTGATAGGACATCCAAATTTCAAATTGCCATTTTAATTATTTTTTTTTTTTTTTTTTTTTTTTTTTCGTTTTATGGCCTAGCTATATATACCTGTGTGTGTCTTCTTGTTCATATTTTCTGTGTAGGCTTTGTTACTCTTTCCCAACAGTGAAGGATCGAGTGGGGGATCCTACCTATGCATTAGAATTAATCTATTTTTTTAATTAAATCAAAATTTCTGCCACTAGTGGGATTCGCTCCTAAGACCTTTCGATCTCAAACTTATGACTCTAACCACTGAGCCAACCCATCCCCTCGTTTTGATGATGATGGGTAAGATTTTCCTGGCTTTCCTCACCTGTATGTTAAATGGCACCATCAATCATCTTTAAGTCAACCCGGAGCGCCACTGGCAAAAATAATATCTGTCCCTTCCCCATACAAGCTTATTTGGCTTCAGGGGGTCAGAATTCACTCCCATGGGGGTGAATTAGAGAGAGTATTATTATTATTATTATTATTATCTCAGTGTTAGAATATAATATGAAACCTAATATAAAATTGTCAGTTGCAATGTTGTTATTGCCGACCCTTCAATAATTAGTGTACATTGCATTTCTTATATTTTATTTGTAATATTAAAATAGATATCGCTATGCCAAGCATCAGTTCTGCAAATATTTTGCCTCCAAAAACAAGTAAACAATTTGATTTAATTAGGCTATTTATATTAAACTTGTGCATAAAATTCTAATAGCTAAATTAACTTTCACAATTGTTAGTGTTATATCCAAAATTAGGTCAGTGAAGTTGGCCCTCCCAATGATATTTTTCAAAAAAAGCTGGTACTAATATGCACTACTACTTTTTTTTGTACCATCTTGAAAAACTACAGCTATCTCTTTGTGGTGAGGCCAAATAAAGGCTGCCCTCCCCCTCTAGTGAAAATGTACTGTTATGCAGCAGTTGGCCCTTGTAATGCACTCATATGCACCACTAATAAAACTTTTTGCCACCCCTCCCTTTAGTAGTTCTAGCTGTTTCTTTACCGTGAAGTTAGTTTTCTCAAAAAAAAAAATATTGCATTGCACTCCTGATGCACTCATATGCACTACCAATAAAACTTGCACCTCCTCCCTTCAGTAGATACAGCAATTTCTTTGTCGTGAATTTAGTATTTCAGGTTAAATCTCTCAATTTCAATCCAAATATTCATTTTTACAACAAATAAACATGTCGGCCAAAATGAGCAGAATTTTATTGGTGGTAATAGCCTAGGTTACCTTCAGGAACAATATGCATTTTTCACACATAGAAACTACGTACAAAACAGCTTAAAGGAAAATCCTATCGGTTTTTCGTAATCAGATGTTTTTTATAAAAAGTATTTTAAGGTCTGTTCCAACAACAATCAGAAACCAGTCATTGACACCAGGATTCTGCGCAGTAGATTATTGGGATCCCAAATTATATACTGCGCAGAATCCTAGTGCCAATAACTGGTTTCGGATCGTTGTTGGAACAAACCTTTAGTTAGTTTACAAGAAACCGTGGTTTCTTGATAAGCTATATTCTGAATGAAATCTGTGCAATTTAAAATTTGTTGGACTATTTATAAGTGCGTACAGGTGACTTACAAATTACTTTTATTTTTTAAAGGTAGGCGCCTACTTATATTAATATAATTTTTCTATTATCATCTGGGTTGGGCTGAATTTTGTCTCATTTTCGTCCTCTATTTTTTAAATTAAACGTACCTACCTATGATTATGGTAATAGTAAACTTTAGGCATTTCTTTATAAGCTTTACTAGAACATAATTGAGTTACCAGAGCATTTATTTATACAGTTTGGTCAGGTTAGGTCACGGTAAATAAATTGATGTAACTACTGAAAAGAGGGGGTGCAAACATTTAAATTGGTTAAGCCTATGAATGCATCAGAAGTGCATACAGGTGCAAATTTTTTTTTTGCGAAAACTTCATTAGAGGGGTTAACTTTACGGTAAAGAAGGTGCTGTAATTACAGAAGGGAGAGGGTACAAAAAGTTTTGTTAGTGGTGCATCAGAAGTGCATACCAGGGCAATAGTTTTTTGCGAAAACTTCATTTAGAGGGCCTAACTTCACACTAAAGAAATTGTTGTACCTACCGAAGGGAGGGGGTGCAAAAAGTTTTGTTGGTGGTGCGTATGAGTGCATCAGGAGTGCATACCACTGCAATCATTTTTTTTGAGAAACTTCATTGGGGGGCTAACTTCACGGTAAAGAAACAACTATAACTACTAAAGGGAGGGGGTGCAAAAAGTTGCATATGGGTGCATACCGGTGCAATACTTTGAATGAAAATTTATTGGGGGTAAAGTACAAAAAGTTTTATTGGTGGTGCTTATAAGTGCATTACAGTAAATCTTGTAATTTTCACTTGGGTGGGGGGGGCAGCGTTTATTTAGTCCCCCACAAAGAAATGGCTGTAGTTTCTCAAGGAAGGTGGTGCATATTGGTGAATCACTAGTGCATTCTAGTGTAATAGTTTTTTTTTTTAAATATTGGGGGACAATTTCACTATACTTACTACAACATACTTGGTAAATGTAAATACCAAATATAGTCATAATTAATTTTGAAGGGTGTCCCATTTAAGAAAATAGTTGATGATGACATTACTCATATGTTTATTACAGACAATTTTAAATGAAAAGTAGATTTGTTTTGGAAATTTTCTTAAAAATTAATGTATTCCATACTGGATGGAGTATTAAGTTTTAAATTGTTTTGCTTCAAATACAATAAAGAAGGAAACAATGTAAATAAAAAAATTACCACTGAATCTGTTCTCTTGTACAATGACAAATTTACCACTAAAATGATATCTACTAACTTTTTTAGTAACTTTGCCTCGTATAAATGCGTTATCAATTCACTCCCCTAGTTTAAAAATGAAGTATAGATCAGTTTGTATTTTGTTACCTGTGTCCGTTTCGTGTGGACCTGTTGTTAGAAAAAAACGTCACATATTATGTATGTAGTTGATAGAATTCATTCACGTTTGTGGTTTTTGTTTGTTTGTTGTTTTTAGGTCTCCAAGTACTCCATCAGCGAGCCGGCCTCACACCCCTCAAACTCCGAGTCACAGTCCTTATATACCAGCTTCGGTTGGTGGACAAGTACAGCCTCCCATGCCCGTCATGATGCCCTTACACTACGTGATGACTAGCCAACCGCAGTACCAGGCGCCACCTCAAGGCAATAAGATCAGACGTTGTAAGTCTTCCATGATGCATCCGCAGGTCTCTCGGAGAAAGCGGATTTTTGTTTTTCGCAATGAAATCGTGACAATTTTTATAAATGTATTTACGATATGTCAAAAAAGTCTTTTAATTCGGTGGAAAATTACAAAGGTTATTAAGGACAAAATGTTATGGGACAGGATGAGGAAAAATTAATGTAACATCTTTCTAAAGTCAGGAAAGAAAACTTGTATTTCTGCAAAAAGAAATGTTTTGTACACGCAATCTCCGGTGGTCTAGGAGTTTCTTTGGTTTGTTATCTCACCTCGATTTCTCTATCATTTTTTTCGCCAATTTAACAGACAATTTTTACAATAAATCTTAACATTTAAAGTGATGCCTATCTTTAAGAAAAATTATCCAAAAAATATTAATAATTAAATTCTTCGAGGTGAAATTTGTATTACCAAATTTATTTTCTTAAACCATATCTTTCTAAATTTTTTTGGGTGATTTCTTGGGAATACAGTTTTTTAATTAAACTTCATAAAATTGTTTATATTATCCAAGCTCCAAATAGGATGGATAAAAATAATATCAGGTCCAAAGTATACAATCACTGAAGAAGGCCATCTAATTTAGGGCCGAAAGCTTCGATAATATAATTTTTTTGAAGAAGTATTGCAGAAACATCCCCAAGGAATCGCCTGAAAAACAATCTTAATTACATACCAGTTAAACCATTAAATAGGTTTTCTAAAATATTCCTCAACCTAGTAATGACATTTTTAAATAATTTTCAAGTTCACAGTAGTATCTAACACAGCTTTAGATCTTTCATGTCTACTACCACTGCTTTGTTTTTTCTTTCACAAAAAGAAATAATTGAATATATTAATGGTGGTGAATGTCCCGCTGTTATTTTTTGTGACCTCAGAAGAACATTTGACTCTGTTAATCACGATATTTGATTGTCCAGGTTAGAGTTTGTATCCATAAAATGAACATCAAAATTTTAATTCAAAACTCTTGTCAGTATAGATGGGTGTGTCACAGGGATCAATTATAAGCTCCATGCTGTTCCATATGTTTACTATATTGAATCTAATTATGGAAAATAATTCATGTGCTGATGACTTCTTTAATTGTTTATGTTAAATACCCTAAGATTCTTGAGGCAAAATCTGAAATAATTTGATCTAATGTGTGTTCATTGATCTAGTAATTTCTTATTTTTTAATAGCAAAAAACCGAAAATGTTAGGCTTACACAACATACAAAGAACTTAGATGTTGTATGTTTCCCGGTTAAGTCGATTATTGCATAAAAAAACTTAATTGGAGGCACCATTGTGATACCTTAATCTCTAAATTACTTTTCTTTAATTTGAGAAACGTTGAAAAATAGTTTTATACTATATACAAGTCGACTAGGTGTCTGTTTCTGGGAGAATGCCATAATTGTGCCCTCTGTCTTCATAATGCAAAAAAAAAACATTCACAACATTGAGAATATTCTAGGCCTAAGGATTATTTTAACAATTTAACATTTTTACTATAAATTTCATTAAAAAAAAAATTCAAGAAATTTTATTATGCATTTTCTAAAAAAGGTAAATAATTTTCAACATGAAGCATGTCTTATATAGCAGCTTTTACCTTTTTTTTCTCAAGTCGATAGTAAGTTATTACTATGTTACATTAGTTTTTACTTACCCTGCATTTATTAGAAACCTCAAAAGATTAATGCTGATTAAATAGTAAAAAAAGTTGCGTATTTAGGTTTCTAACAAACCGATAAAAACAAATTCCTGATATTTTTGACAATTTACTACTTATACAGGAGAAATCAAACATTTTTATTTTTTAAAATATTTTATTTTTTATATTAAAAATATCTTTTCTGATTGAAACGATACATACTATAAATCTGCTGTGTCGAATTTTTAATGCGACGTTTCGTCTCTTAAATAGCCCAACATCATCAATATCTGTTTTATTTAATATTCAGTCATGATTTTTAAGTGAAAACCAGAAGTCTGCCACTATTAGTTAATAATTTGATTTTGAGTTTATTGCTTGTAGATTTTGATTATTTTGTTTTTTTTTTTAACTCTGAGAGGCCTGTACAGAAGTGACTGAATTAATTTTTTTATAGCTTAAAAAATGCAGTATCTGAAAAAAATGCAACATTACCATTTTTTCATTAAACTTCTAGATGACAAACATTAGTGAGCTTTGTTTAGTTAAAAAAAAAAGATTTTTTTTCAGATATTGGGATTGGTAATCTTAGATTGCATGGAGTGACTGATAGTTTCCCCCTATTCCTTATACGCAATTTACATCATAATAAGAAAATGTATTTAATAAAATTAAAAGTTTCACTTAACGATACGATTTTGTAGCATCTCCACATATATTTCACCTGAGGAGAGGATTAAACAGATAAAGTTTTAATCTTCAAGACAAGATTTGCTAAGCAAAAATTTTGAAAAATGCTGGAATGAGAATTATGTTCAAAATTACGCTAAAATCGCTTTTAGAAAACGCTCCTCGTTCTAAAAGTTAAAAACTTCCTGACCCAAAGTAAGTAAGAAAGAAACAATAAAAAGTATTAAAATTTTAGTTATGCAACTATAATCAATGGTACATAAAAAATATCGGTTGTGTATATCCTGTGTTCCAAAATTATAGGTAATATTTTAATTGCGTATTATACAGGAGAAAATAAAGCAGACAGTTTCTATAAACATAATATATTCAAAAATAAGCGTAGATTATGGAAGTATTAATAGATAAGAAACAATGCTAAAGTTTAAGAATATTTGATGATGTGAGTTAACCTCCGAAACCCCCCTATGTTTTGTAATTGACAGTCGAAGAAGTTGTTGTCTACTAAGTATTATTCTGAAAATACAAAAGGCACCAGTCTAATAAATGGTAGATCCTCTGACGTATGTTCTAGTTGAGGGACGTCTAGAATTTTCGTAGCGAATGTGGGAACATTCAGTAAATACCACTTATATGTATAAATAGACTGTTTTGCTGTTGGAGCAGTCACTTCAAGTGGAGATATATCTGTAAGCAGATTAATATTGTCCATATAAATTAGTGCATAAGTGTGATATATAAATTAGTATACTATGTAGTATAAATTAGTGTCTTAGTATAAATTATTAAATTCTTTAAATAAATAAACGTTACAGGAATATTACGTCTAAATTTAGCATACATGGCGTTCTAGGAAGCGATATTCCTGGAAAAGTATCAATTTTATCGAAGTGAACCAAGATATCTTTTTGTCATAAAAATGTTGAATTTTATAGGTATGGTCTCAAAAATAAAAAAATGCAGAGAATAAAAAAAACTTTTTTACACCACTCTCCTCTAGTTGTGAGTCCCAGTTAGAAGAATAAAACATTTGAATTAGTTTTCATATTCAGTATATCAATTTTAATAGGAATACAAAATTTGATGTATTTATCAGTACTGGATTCGAAAATATCGTCAGAAAACCATCTTCAGTAGGTTCTCTTCAAAAAGGTGTTGCTCTCAAGGAATTTTTGGATATATCTTTATAGGAACACACTGCCTTATTTTTCACCTGTATATGCTGTTTAAATATGTACCTCTAATTTTGGAACACCTTGTATATATACTGTCCCTATTTAAAATTAGTTGTTTTAAAAGAAATTTGTATAAAACGGAAACTTGAAATTATTGTAGCAGTTTAATTGTAAAAAATAGAAATATGCCGAGGACTTTTTTTTATTTTTTTATAGTAACCACTGTATGATTAATGTTTTCAACAGTATCTGCAATGGGATGCAATTGACCTTAAGACTGTGAAGAAGATTGACGCATACCACATTGATCAAATAAGGATCCATTTATGCATTTATTTCATGACTATGTTTTTATGCAATTTTGGAAATGTGAAAATATAATCCCCAATTCCCTCTACGAAATTAAGAAATGTATCCCCAAAGTGAAAATTAACCAACGAAAACGTGACGTTTACGGTGGTTCTTACATGAAAACTGGCAAATGAAAAAAGGAATTTAGAATTTATTCTAGTACAATGTAAGCTAAGCGTCCTGCATCGATCTTGCAATGGTGGGCTTTAAGAAGAATTGACAAAGCTGGAGAGAGAAAGGAGAATGTTTGTACTGACTAGAGTCGTAATCGGATGACTTCAAATTTGACTGTCATAACTATGCGTTCCGGTTTTTTAATCAGTAAAGACCCAGAGGGCTATATTAGGAAGATCTCTGGCCGGTACACTTATTTTTCTTTGATTTGTTTTCACTTTGGGGTGTGGCGATACATTTATTAATTTCGTAGGGGAGTTGGAGATTATATTTTTACATTTCCAACATTGTATACTGTCGTGCGATCACCTGAGACCGACCCTGTTCTTTGCCAACCTTTACCTATGACTCCACCTTATGGAACTTCCCTGGTCTGTTCTATGTGTTCTAGTTCTTCTATCTTCTTTTCCATTTCATTTATTTTCTCCGCATCGGAAGACATTATTTTCTCTTCAACGGAAGTCATCTTATTTTCCACACCAGCAGAAAATTCATTTTTTAGAGAAGACATATCAGGAGAAATTTCATCTTTCAAACAGATTTTAGTTTTCTTAATCTGAAGAAATTTCTGTTTTTAATGAAAATATGTCAGAAGACATCTTCTAAGGAAAAAATGTCAGACGAAACTCTACTTTCTAAGTAAGTAATATCAGACGAAACTTTGGTTTCTAAGGAGGAAATATCATTTTTATAGAGGAAACAAGAAAATTTAGTTTCCTTGGAAGAAATATTAGAAGAAAGTTTATTTTCGAAGGATGAGATCTTTTCATAGAAGAAATTATAGAAGACGCATCAGAAAATAAATACGTTTCAGAGTCCAAACATTAACTTTTTTTTGCCATTTTTATCCACTGTTTACAATCCCACTTCTGACACCAATGTAACGTTTGTTTATTTAAAACAGTTTATTTATATTTTATTTACACCAGGTACTAATTAATTTATACTTAAGCACTATTTCACTTTTTTTTATTTGGTGTCATCGGCATCAACTACTAAGGTTATTAGCCTCGTGTTCTGTGTAGGCTTTGTTGCTGTTTCCCAACGCCACTTTAGGAACAGCACTGTTAATTAGAACCCAACTGTGAATGGTCGAGTGGGGAATCCTACCAAGGCATCAGAATTAATTTTAAATAAATAAAATAAATGAAAAAATCCCGGCCAACGGTGGGATTCGAACCTGGAACCCTTGGATTCGCAGGCAGAGACTACCACTGAGCCACCCACCCCCCTATTTTACAATTATAATTTATTTTAACAATTAACCTTTACTTGACAACATTTATAATAAAACTTAACTGAAACGACAAAATAATCCGCTTATATACAAAAATGTAGAAAAAATCCAATCCTGATTAGAATGCTCGATGCTAGAGTCTAGAAGTTCTCGAAATCTTTCCTCCACGCATCGTACAGAGTAGTGATGAAGAATGAATACTGGAACTGATCCAAGGATCTGATTCCTGATACTCGGGATCACGTACCTGTTCCCAAAATGAAAAACGAATAGTTCACAAACTAGTACGCATCGACGCCACCACCGACGTATTTGTTATTCGGTTGCGGCACTACTTACTGACTATACTGATGCCTGATACAGGAGGATAATGCGCAGAAACATGCGGATGCACGAGTCGCACGACTGTTGGACTCGAAGCTAGAAACTACTTGATTCTTTATCGCTTCGCAACGACCGCGGTCACACTGTGGTATGTATTTGTGTGTTTTCGGTATCAGAATTAATAAAATATACCAAATATTTAGTAATCCAACTTTAGGTGTAGGGTGTAGGTACCTACTAACTAGTCTAGGATCAGTTGGATAAAAACATTTTTTCTGTTAAGATTACTTTTAAATTAGATACTAGGTATAGAGATTGGGACTTTCCTTTGGGGTTCCAATTTAGTATTAATTTATTGTACATGTTTATATTGTAAGAATGTAATAATTAATCTAATTAGACGTGTTAAGCAATAATAGGTACGTTTACATATTTTGTTATTTTTATAAACACTAGCCGACCGGGCGGCACGTTGGATACAACCATACGACAAACGCATTTATGAAAATAATGCCCTATTAGTTTTATTTAGAGAGTCTGTAACGCTGTGTAGCGTTTGCAGACTTCGCTGAATGCATTAGGATTCGTATCGGGAACTGATCCTGGGATCAAGTATTTGCATATATGGGATTAACTCCGAACTGATCCGTGAAAAAATTAGGATCAACCATTACTAGTACAGAGGAAACATTCCAGTCAAGTCTTGATGGTCAGCACCAGATGCAACGGCGCGAGGTAAAGGTCGAGAAAGAACAGGGTCGGTCTCAGGCGATCGCACGACAATACATTAGTTTTAGAATCTATTTTCTCACCTTTTTTCCCTATTTATTTTTTTACTCGTTATAAAAGATAATTTATGCTCTGTTACAGTACCGATGAGAACCGACATGGCGTCGCAAATGCAAGTGGCGGCGGCGACGGGCCAACCACTACTCGCCCCCGCGCCGATGCAGCCGTTCATCTACCCGCCAGCGATGAACCAGGCCTACCAACCCATGCACATGGTAAGAACGTATGACACGTCCCAGCAAATCCAGTACCTCCCACCCAATCCACATCCATCGCAAACGCCGTCGCCCGCCCAACCGCCGCAATACAACCCCGCCCAGATGCAGCAGGTGACGCAACAGCAGCAGCAGCAATGCCAGGCTCAGCCGCCTCCGCCGCAAGGCCACCATCAATTCCCTCTCATGTATCCAATCATACCCGCCCAGCCGCACATGATGCAGGGCATGCAGTACCTGCAACAGGCGCCGCCCCCTCAGCAGCCGCCCATGCAGGTGCTGATGCACCAACACCCCGGCCAAGGCAATCCGCATGGACCTAATCCTTAGCGCTAGCGGTGGTTGTTGTGTTAGGTAAATTTTTAATAATCTTTTTTTATTTTTCTTTTTTTTTTTGTGGTCAACAAATCTTTTTTTATTATTTTTTTGGTCTGCAGTTTTTTTAAATTAACAATAAAAATTGGCGTTGTTAGATGATGTTTTTGTAGGTTTTGGAAGGCTTTCTTAAAGTTCTGGCGGTATGAATATTGTTTCATGAACTGCTTTAAATCGGAAACTCTTAAATGAAATGAAGTTGGTTTAGTTGTCGAAACAAAGACAAATGAAAGAATTCAGGAATAAATTTTAGATTCCGAGAGAGGATAACAAACCCAAGAAAAATTGTTTTTGAATACTAGAGAATAGTTGGAAAATTGGAAGTAGATCTGATAGAGTCGGGTCAAATTTACAATTAGATTGCTAGATGTATAAGGCTCAGGTGGCCTAATGGTTGTCGTGGGAACGGCAATCCGGAGGTCGGATTCGAGTCCTGTTCGAAGCAGATTTTTTCAAAAACAATTTTCCAATTTTTCTTTGAATTCTGGAATTTATTCCTGTATTCTTTAACTTGTCTTAAAATAAGAGTTGGATGTATTGATTAAAATGAAATGAGTATATTGGTGTAAAAATTTTAATAAAATCAGCCGGGCATTTTCGGATTTACAAAGCCACCATCACAGCCTTCATATGGTTGATATATGTGGCGGCTTGTGCAATGAGGCAAGGGAGGTTATGCCTCCCCAAATAATTTATTTAATATATTTCGGCGAAATCATGTAAAATTGAAGAGGAATTCGGGGAAATCATATAGAATCATGGGTGATTATACTGAAATCGTAAAAATGTATAGAAGATTTCGGCGAAATCGCCTAAATCAAACCAATTTTTGGCGATTTACAAAAAGCAAATCCATATTATTTACAATCTGCTTCCTTCCTAAAAAAGTTGGTTGGTACATCTGCTAAAAATATTGAATAACATAAACGTTTATAAAAGATAAAATGTATTGACAGCATTGTTAATAATATGTATATACATTAGGTATAAATAGGAATGAAATAAAACATTTTTATCAATAGTCAGATTTATTGAGATATTTTATAATTATTTCTTGGTTTAATTCACCAACTGCCTACACAATCGAGGTTGCTAAAGGGCAAAGCTTAGATTTGTAAACTCGAAAACGCTCGCCTGATTCTTCCAGTTATTTCAAAATTATAAATATATATTGAGTAAAAAAAATGCTAACATTTTTGTATAGTCAGAATTTGTATATAAGAAAGTTTTTCGAAAATCGACAAACACAATTTTTCGTTTCACAAAAATTAATTAAAATTATTATAAAACCTTATTAAGAAATGAACGCAAAAATTCTTGATTGATTTAGCTACAGAATTATTTTCAGCAAGACAGTTTTTTTCTAATTATATTCTAATTGAACAGATTAGTTTTTATGCTTTATTTTAAATAATTTATAGCTTATTCATTTGAACTATTCTTAATATAGCAGAGTGTCTTGACGAAATTATCAAAGAAATGAAAAGAATAATTAAAATCATAGTATAACAGATATAAATAAAGCTGTCAAGGGTGCCTATGTTTGAAATGGGAGAGAGAAAATTCGTATTTTTTAAATCGAATTCACCAACATTGAGTAGTCTCTCAAAAACTATCTCGTAATTTTAGGTAGAAAAAAATGGAAATAATGAGAAAATTGTTTAGGTTATAACTTAATACTATAATTTATTTAATTCTTTTTGGGTCATACATACCTGTTATTATTCTTTAACCAGAATTGGCAACCAAAAATTTAAACCAAATAAGGATTTTACTAATTACCTCTAACACTTCAACTTGTGTTTAGTACACCTCAGAAGTACACCTCAGAGTAAATAGTTGGTAACAAGTTTGCTTGATCTCAACAGTTACCATGCTAAGCACTTGTGGTTGAACTAAACCTGTCTGAAAGTCGATAAAGTAAAACACTTTAAAAAGTTGCGGGCTTTAAAATTAATAATATTTGAAGCAGTTTGAAGTCACTTTTTTCTATTTTACAACTTTTACCTACAACTAAAACAAACAATAAGTTTAGTGAATTATTGTTGTAGGTAAAGGTTAAAAAGTGAAATATATTACTTGTTTTAAGTGAAAAATAAAAAAATATTTTTAATAAGTTTATTTAGAATATGTCAAAATTTTACGTAAGCAGAACTACGTAATACTAATAAATTTGGCAACGCCGCATGTCTATGTCTCAAGTTGGCATCCCGGCTTTTGTTATACCTGTCGATCTTTACTAAGATCTCCTTTTCAGTCCAAGAAAAAAACGTTCAAAAAAGACATCTTTTATAAATATCTCTGTTCCAGTACGCTTTGCAAAGAAAATATATCTAGACAAAATTGAAGAGAAATGAATTCTCTATAAATTAGATCTTATATTTCTGGCGCTATAACACTACAATTGCAAATTTATATATTTTTAAATTTGAAGATACATTTTTGGAATCAACTCGACAAGAGAAGTCTAAAAATTAAAAACTGTTGATAGCGTCATCAATTGAAAATGATTCCTGTCGAAAAAGTCAAAAAATGACCCGTCTCGGCAATTTCCCTCAACGTTATTTGTTTAGCTAAAAATTAATTAGTGTATGTAATTTTTTTGGTAATTTAACAAAATCTACGTTACAGCCATAAAGAAAAATAATAGACTACAAGGTTAGTTTAAACATAATTGTTTCGTGACCATTTTAGGTTCATTTTAACTTGAGCTTTAAGAAATTCATCAAAAGAATATTATTTGACGAATTTTTAATGTCGACAAAAGATGGTGAAATAAAAAATGTAATTACTCATATTGAGTCAATAGTAGATAAAAAAAAAGGATATGCCAAAAAAAATAATATAAAATTTTAAACATTTTAAAGAAATCATTTTTTTTAACTTTATAGTAGACTACTTGAAATGGCAAAAGATGTAAAGTTTTTTATTTAATATTCACAGTTTATTTGCACAGGGTGCTGCTCTGGATTTAATATTCCTATTTGTAAACCAGCAAAATTCCATTTTTTTACAAATTTGTGCGATATTTTAAATTCGTTTACAACTTTTTCTAGTTTTAAATTTACTGACCCCTGTATCTATGCTGGTTTATGAAATTGTTAAATAAGGATCACGCTTTTTCAGAGTTTAAAATGTAATGAACACTTAAAAAATATATTTTAAAAGTAATTAAGAATTATACATTTTTTTGTTAAAATATTGAAATATCGCTCTGTTGATAAATTTCAGCTCAAAATTGAACCATTTTTAGGTGTATCAGTTTTCTAACAACTGAGCGTTAAAGTCTTAAATATTGATTACAAAGTACTAAAGAATTTAATGGTTTCATAAAAACTGTACAATAATTAAAATGATAAAAAACAACGCCAATTTTTAATCAACAATTTTTTATTCAAAAAGTAAATTAAAACAATCTTGTTATTTTTTGTTATATTCTTTTAATTTTGTTAATTGTTATTTTTCTAAACTTAGAAAGTATGTTTAAGGTCGTGGAAATTACATCTCACATAATCTGTCTGTGGATTATCAAATTTTTTGAGGATTTTTATCAGATATAAGAACGGGTTACTCAAAAAAAAAAAAACAGACGGGCTACGTATAGGAATTGTAAGATTTTTTTACTATACCTAGGATATATGTGATAAAAATTATGTAAACCTTGAGACGACGTTTTACAAAAGGGTACTAAAAGTCTTCACTGATTTTACAAAATATTCGCGACCAAATTCCAAAAAAGAAATTAAATTTTTCGACGTTAGTACCCTCTTGTTACTTTTAGTCGTCTTGGAGGCATTTTTTCTTTTAAAATTGTTAAATAACTTTTTTTCTGATAGTGTTTTCATTCAAACTATTTTTGGTGGTTATATCATTCCATATTTTTTTATTAAAAAAAAGAATCATCATAAGGTAGTGGCCGCTCTTTATTTTTTTCACATATCGATAATCATGCAGTATTTAAAATATTAAAAAAAAAAACAGCCAGCTGGGTCTGGCTTCATACTTTTCAGCATACAGGTTCTCTAAACCTGCAGATCACTAAATATATCCAATTTTTATATAATAGGCAACCACCGATACATATATAAAACAAACATAAAAATAAATAATAAGGATGCTTAAAATCTTTATTAAGCATGCTACAACCTCAGCAGTGTGTATCTAAAGGGGAAAGGAACGTGAAACCTGGGATTATTTCCCATCGAACTCCCAAATTTACTGTCATCTTTCTCAGTAGACACTGGATTTATTTTAAATGATTTAAATTAATTTTTCAATAGTTCATGATTTATAAGGTTCATTTTATTAATGTGCTCACCCTTGGTTCTAAAAGTAGCATATTATATTAATTTATTCACATGTGCGTATATTAATATATCCCAATCTTCATATTGAGTATATTAATATATCCCCATCCTTATATATTAATTTATATTTATAGACATATATTAGTATATCCAGGGCAGCATATATTAGTTATTACGTCAGCTTCTTCTTATTTAATCTAATGCCCTTTATGACCATGGACACAAGATGGAAACATACAGTGCAACTCTTAGATTATTTCTCATCCAAATCGACTTTTTCTATCAAAATTCTTTTGTTTCGTCCAGATTTAGTGTTATATTTATTGGTATCTTCTACAGGATTTATTTCATTTTCTTTAAATGAACCTTCCAGTATTTCTTTCATATGCTCACCCTTTGTTCTACAAATAGCATATATTAATTTATCCAGATCAGCATATATTAATATATATTCTCATATATTAATTTAGCATTATCGGCATATATTAGTATATCCAGATAAGCATATATTAATTTGTCGGCATATATTAGTATATCCACACAAGGTGGGAACGTGCAGTGTGGCCTGAGTTTATTTTCCATCCAACCGGCCTTTTCCATACAAATTCTTGTGTTCCAAATTTACTGTCACCTTTCTTGGGACCTTCCTCAGCTTCTACGTGATTTATTTCAAATTATTTAGATGAACCTTTCGGTATTTCATTACTTACGTCTCGATTCATTTATATGCTCACCATTTGTTCTACAAATATCATAATATATTAATATATCCACATCGGCATTTATTACGTCAGTAGGTTCCCTCTTTTTCTAATGTCATTTATGACGGTATCCAGAAGTTTTTAATACCTTTATTGTTTTCTGAAGAATATCAATTATCTTAATATGATTATTAATTAATTCTGATGATAGAACAGTAAATCCAACTTAATGAATTTTATAAACTGGCTAAGCTGCCCTCTTCATTTGCTTGGATTCACTCTCTCCATCAAGTAATCCTTTATATTCTGGTAAAGAACGGTTCTTTCGTGATAGATTATTATTTGCGAGAGTTATGTCGTCAATCAGGAAATTATTTCCTTAATGATTCTAACCGAGAACTGCACAATCTGTCTAAAGAGTTGTATTGACCAGAAGAGGCCAAAACAGGGTCCACCATTTTTCATTGATACATTCTCCTTTGAGATACTTTTGGAAAAGATTTCCCCAGCTTCATTAATTAATAACTTTTAAATGTCTACATGAGAATAGCTGATGGAATTAATCTAAGTGATCCTTGCTTATTAGCAATTATCATATAGACTTGTGACTTATTTACAAAGTTGCTGAAAACTGTAAATAATATAAATGTTGTTTCTTAATTAGGACTTTTCAATATCGGTTTTTTGAAATTGAAACCTTATTAAACATATAAGGCGTGGTTTAATTACAATCAATTTTAAATCGTTTTAAATTTAATTCACAAAATCGTATATTTTGCGCATCGATTGTTAAAATCGCCTTCTACTTGAGCTACATGAGGCTTGAAAAATAAATCCAGCCATGGTTGGAGTCCGACTTAAAGGTAAATTTTCATTTCAAATTAAAGGACATGGACAGATTTTTTTTTTTTTTTTTCTATTTTAGAAAAGTATAGATACGTCACTTTTTTTGACGTGAAATTCTAGGAACTTTGTGATAACAGTAGAAAACCTTTGGTGTTGTCGTTAATATTGGTTTGCAGTTACGTTTTAAGTATATCTTTAATGGAAAAAACCTAAGGGTGGTTGGAATTTTTGTTAAATAGTATAAAAACACGTTTTTATTTGCATTCTAATAGCCTCACAAAGGACCCTTAAATTTACCTACATTTAAATCCTTAATAGGATTCGTCATTGTATTCAATGCCTAAGTTGGGTGATATTTTACGTAATGTTACTGTTTGTAAACTGACATGCTTTACATTGTTTCATAAATGTTTTCTAGAAAAATATTAACAAATAATAATTGGTTTCTTAATGATTTGAGCCTCATTTATTAACGATTCAAAGCGATTGAAACAATCATGGCATCTTCCAACTCTACTTATTCTCTTGGTTGATGTTGAACTGTTTATAAAGAAAAACACTAATTAATAAATCACTAAACGATTTGAAATTGATTTTAAGGAAGTGCACCCGAATCATCTAAAATGCGATAAACTGTATATATAGGAGTATTTTAATAATAAATTTGGAAATCTGCAGTGTCTGGGAACCCCATTATTTTTATATATATAAATGTATATGTTTACAGTGAGTTGCGTTGCGGCATCATATTGTTAACATTGCCTAATCGTATTTGTTGAAAGTCAGGCAGCATGGAGGTGCTTCTTAGATACTAAGGTGCCTTAATCTTATTTTTTCCATTTTGTATTTGATTGAAACAATGTAAAAGCTCTTCGGCACCTCGAATTGTTGAAAAAAATTACTTAGTTGAACTAAGTAAGGAGGATGTAAGTCGTCGGAAATTCGCGTTGGTGAATTTTCGAAATAGAAAAGATATTTTTATCGATAATTATTATTTCGATTGAAAAAATGGCGCGTTCTAATTTACGAATTATTATGCGCTATTTTTATCTAACTGGATTCCTATTCGAAATGATTATTCAAAATTATGAGCAAACAGTTAGAAATGTTATATATGAAATTGTTTTTTTCTTTTTTTTTTCGCAAATAAAGTCTGAATTTATTTGTAAATAACTTGTTTTATTTATATGTTTATCCCTATATTCCAAAATGCGCTTTGAGATCGGATCATAACCATTATATAAAGAACTACTAGTAGCCTAACCTTATGGAATTATCAATTTATGAAAGTGTGAAAATATATAATCCCCAATTCCCGTACGAAATTATGAAAAATAAAACCCCACATCCTCAAAGTGAAAACAAACCAGAGAAAATTGAAAAATCTGAGAAATAAAAAAACTAAAAAATGTATGCATTGGCCACGGATCGAACCTAAAACCTTCCGACTAGGCCGTCGGCGCCAATTATATTTTCATATTTAAACAAATCGCATTTTTGTTTTCGGTTCTCAAACGATTTTCTTCACTTTTCTTCGTAATGGAATCGATCAAAATATTATTAAGAGTTATTGCTCCGCTGACAATAGCAAGAAATTTGTATTAATAATAGGCATTCTGGTTTAATCCTAGAAGACAATTTTAAAGATAATATCATAAACTTTATTTGCAAAGAGGATAAGTGGCACTAGCCCTGGGTTAGCATACTTTTTAAAAAATTGCCCTTTTGACAAAAAAAAATTGTAGTTTATTACATTTAAAAAAAGGACAACTTTTAAAATTGGATGTAACATAAAGCCGTAATTGATAAATTAGCAAAGTAATTTCGGGTATAAAAATGATTGAAAAATATGACTACAATATCCCCTCTCAAGACATTCCGTGTACGTACCAAAGATAACGGATAATAGATACGCCTTGATTACATTGAATTTGTCCTCAACATCTTTCTGACAGTACGCTCTTCTCTTCCATCAAATATCCTTCATTAAATTTTTATTAAAAAATTTACACTTCCGTTTAATATAATCTATTAAAAAAATATAAATAAATAATGAAAGCATAAATATGAGTTTTTTATTCATCACAGTCACTTAAGATTTGTATTTATCATCTTTTTCGCCTGTATTGTATGGGGATATTGAACATTCTGGTTCATAACCTTTAAGTTCGGCAACCTAACACATTTTGTTGACGGCGTCAAGTGACAGCTTAATTTTAATTGTAGTTTTTTGATAATTTCGAGAATAATTTGAACATTTAGCTGTAATAAGGTCATTTAGGATGATTAGGAAATGTGTAGTGTGCCAAACTATTTGTAATAAGAATGTTATTCGTTCATTTCATGAATGAAGTTTTGTGAGCATAGACGGAGGCATATATAGGGAATAAAGTTTGATTTATTTAATATTGTAAAGGCATGTATAAACTTGTCGCTAATACATGTCCTGAAAGTATGTGTGACGTGCAATCCAAAAGGGTATGTTTTGGTAAGATCCTTTTTATATATTTATGTCTGAAGTAAATGTTTTATTGTTTTTAACAGGTTTTTTTTATTTGATAAAGAATGTTAGTCGAGACAATACCGATGTAAAAACTAGAATGATGAATATGATGATATATAAATAATGCTTGGCATTCTATAATATACTGTTCACAGTTTAACAAATCCCCTTCCCCTTTTGAATAATTTTTTCAGAATCAATAGGCTTTATCCCCTTATAAAGCTTGATTTTTCTTGAAGATTTCAATTTTATATCATTTTTCGTTTTTGAGTAAGGATTGTTTTTTAATATTTCAACCCCTCTTGACCCCTCATTTTTATTCAGATTCTATTTTAAATTAATAGGCTTCGTCCCGTTATAGAGCTTAGTTTTTCCTGAAATTTTCAAGTCTATATCATTTTTCGTTTTTGACTTATCATGACATTGGACGGACAAAGTAAACCTATAATATTCTTCATAGACTAATGTGTGAAGAGTATAATAATAATAGCTTTATATTTTTATTTGGTATTCATGTATTTTTTTTTAACAGTGATCTAAAATAACACATTTGCAATTCAGCACTTTCAAATCAACAACAGACTAATTTTGTTTTCTAAAATTGAATTGCAAACATTCACGGTTGTTATCCACGTAGTTGTCAAATTATTGTATGTGTGTGTTACGTTACAAGAATTGTAACATAGGGCTCTAAAACGCACAAAAGGCTTTCAAAATTACATTAAGGAAGTGTGTTTACTTTCTCAATGTCAGTTTAATGTATTTTTTTCGGCTATCATAGTTAAAGGTGATTTTAATTAATTTTAAAATGTGATAGCTATGTAAAGCAAGCGTCGTAGGCGTAGGGGAAGGTGTTGTATGCAGGGACAGTATATTTTAATTGACTATAAAAAAAAATTCTGACATTTTTGTTTTGTTTTTATTATGGCAATCCATTGTAAACGTAAAAGCCTTTCTTAAAATAAATTAAAATTTTTCAAAATATGATCATGGCGGTTACAAGTCCCTCTATACAACAGAATCCCACTATACACCCACCTCCCTGTGTATTAATGGGAATTTAGTACGTGCATAGAGGGACAAATTAAATAGGAAGGTATATGATCGAAAAAGGTGGATAACATATAGTTACGTAAGTATAAAAAGTTTTATTTCAGGTAAGTACAGGATTACAAATTTAGGTACCTACTCTATTTTGTAACACTAAAAGTCAAAATTGAAACGCCACTGCTTTGAAACTCTTTCAGTGCCGCCGATCATAAATGGCTCAGGAAGTTTAGTGACGATGTTTTCTTTTGACTTAAATGGTTTTTTTTAAGTTTTGTCTAAAGTCCGTATTTATAAACACTTTTTAAATGCACACAAATGTAAATAGCAGAATAGATGGTAAAGGTACCATTTCGGAAGGCGCGACAGAAGACAACAGAGGCGAGGGCAAAGGCGACAGATGCATTAACGTTAAGGCTTGGTTCCACTTGTGCAGCAGACGCATGCAGCCACTGCTTGCAGCCGCTGCTGCGTTTACTGCTGGCAATTGAAGTGGTTCACCTTGTGCAGTGGAAATGCAAGTGTTTTTAAAAAGTCGCTGTCTAGTCAGTTCGTTTTGAGCATTCATTGTGAAACGATGCATCGTGGTGCATTATTAGCTCTTTACTTATTAGACGAAGAAGAAGACGAAACCATTGTGCGCATAATTAACAGAAATGTTCAGAGAAGACCACAACATATGATGTTTCGACGAAGAAATAAGGAAGGAACTTATAAAAATTTAATATGTAAATACCTAGTGGACGATGAAGAAAAATTTCAGCAGTTCTTTAGACTAACAAAAAAACCAGTTTCACTTCGTTTTATCTGCCATTGAAACAGACATTAAGAAAGCGCCCACCAACATAATTCAACGACCGATAACAGTTGAAGAAAAATTAGGTGTAACGTTAAGGTAAATGAAAAAATATTTATGTTTTATGACAAATAACAGATACGCTTTAACTTTAATCTAAATTAAGATATCGTAATTGGTCGTATTGATCCTGATTATTATTATACCCTTGCCATTCTCTTCACAGCTATTTAATGAAGACCTGTTTTGCTGTTGAGGTAAATCCTTTGGTTGAGATGCTAGCAATTGTAACTCATTTACAGTTTGTAAATGTCGAAGTTTTGCTTCTGCAATTAAATGCGGGGGAAGTCGTTTTACTCTTAAAGCGATACTTCTGTAGAACACATCTACATCGTCTTCTCTTCAAGTAATTTTGAAATATTGTCAGTCATTTTTCTCTTATGGGCTCTGACAGGGGTGCAGGTACTTGCCACTCTGGACGTTGACGGCGTGGCAATAGAAGACTGCTCTAAGTCAATTATTGTCTCTTCTACCAAATTATGGTCTGCATCAGAAACCGCCTCGTCATTTCTTTCCTGTGACTCTTCCTCTATGTTGGATATCGTACTGAAAAAACACAAGCATGTTATCAAAACTTTAAATTATTTGCTAGTTTAAAAAAAAAAACTCACTATAATTACCTTTCCTCTGGAACCGTTTCGAGAAAGGAAAGGTAATCGAACAGAGGCCACTTTTTGCGCGTTACTGCTGCTGATGATCCGGTTCCTAATTTGCCACTCCTTTTTAGTCTCTTGTATGTATCGCGAATAGACCTCCATCTCTTTTTGCATTCATCATCTAAAAATAAAACAATTTTTTTATTTCAGATATCTGGCAACTGGCGAATCATTTAGATCTCTCGCTTTTGGGTTCCGGATTTCACACTGTCACATTTCCAGAATTGTTAATGCTGTTCTTTCGTCGATATGTAAAAGATTAGTACCTGTTTTATTGCCTTCCCTTAATGAAAGTATATGTAAGCAGAAGTCGATAGAATTTTGGGAAAGATGGCAATTTCCCAACTGTGTCGGAGCAATTGACGGGAAACATGTCCGTATAGTATGTCCAGCAAAGAGTGGATCCTTATATTTCAACTATAAGAACTTCTTTTCAATTGTGCTCTTGGCTGTGGTTGACGCTCGATATAAATTTTTAGCTGTGGATATTGGATCGTATGGCAAAGAGGGTGATAGTGGAATATTTGCAAATTCTACCATAGGCAAACAGATATATAGCAACAGATTTTGTTTTCCTCCAGAAAATATATTGCAGGGCACACACACTAATTTGCCTTACGTTATTGTTGGAGATGAAGCTTTTCGACTTCATTCCAATCTAATGAAACCCTACAATAGAAATCAGGCGCGAGAAAATACTCGATTAGCTCGAGTCTGCTTGACTGGCATGGGGTGGTTTGAACGAAAAACAGGTTGGGGCAGATTGGTCGGACCCTGTACGGCGCGTAACGCTGCTACTTCGGAGTCCAGACATCGTTCCAGATGCCTAGCCTGATTAACGGTTGACGTCCTCTCGGACACGGGGTTTACGGCTCGAGGAAGAGAGTTTTTGGTCACAGTTGTTGGTATTTTTCCTCCTTTATCACAGCTTTCGCTGAGTTCAGGAGACATGGTTTCAATCCAGCACAGCTGTTGAACAACTCGACGTACGGCCCTTCAGCACCGATGGTGTCTTTGGAGTTACTATACTGGTCGGACGGCTGGTATTAGTCACAACTTGTAACCTGAATCTCTCATACTGCGGGGGGTGGTTTCTCCCCGATCTAC